ATCGTACATCCGTAACGATCAAATTTTGGACCTCTCGGAACGCATCAAGGAGAAAATTCCTTCATACATGGAGTATGCATGTCTCTTCTGGGGCCAACACTTACACGAGGCACAATTCTCAGACGCGTTGTCGAGCGAGTTGTTAGAGTTCCTTCACAAACGATTTCTGTATTGGCTCGAGGTGATGAGCCTCTTGAAGAAGGCCAATACTGCTAGTCCAGCTCTCCTTCTTGCCATGAATTGGGTCTCGGTGAGTATGTATATGTACTATTGGAACCAGGATTAATTTATCCATCAACTAGTCATACGATGCACACATACTGGCGTTCCTCAGGGACGCACGAAGAATAATCACTGTATATTTTCCATGCATTTCACAATCGACATCCCATATCTACGTGTCATTCCTTCCGCTTGCATCGCTGGAGTCGAAGTTTATAGCGGACAATTACTTAAGGCCTAATCTACCTATTGTGCAGGTAGAGCACATAGGCATGAAGCAACGATCACCATTATTGAAGACGTTAGGTTTTCTGGGCTCTCTCCATGCTCTTGCCTTCTCGCCTGACAATATGCGTATTGCTGGCTACTTTGGCACCAAAATTCAAATTTGGGATGCTGAAAGTGGACAAGTCATTTCCGGACCTTTCGAAGTACCTTTCGAAAGGGAGACTTTTGGGAGACTGCCTAGTGCTTTCTCGCCTGACCTTGAACGCATTGTCTCTATTGGTTCGGATACAGGAACTGAAACCCAAGAAATTCGAGTCTGGGAAGTTGACAGTGGGAAGGTTGTTTCTCTTGAGGGCCATACAGATGAAATTCTAGTGGTTGCTTTCTCGCCTGATGGGAAGCATGTCGTATCTGGCTCAGCCGATACAACCATCGTGGTTTGGAAAATTGACAGCAAGGAACCTATATCTGTGCGCTTTGCGGGCCATACAGAAACAGTACTTTCTGTTGCCTTTTCTCATGATGGAAAACGCATCGTCTCTGGTTCAGACGACTCGTCGATACGATTATGGGATCTCGAGAGTGGACACCTAATTTGTGAACCCCTCGAGGGCCATACCGAGTCTGTCACATCGGTTGCCTTCTCTCACGACGGTACACGTATTGTCTCGGGTTCTGTAGACTCGACAATTCGAATCTGGGATGCTCGAAGTGGCCAATGCATTTCCGAGCCTTTCAGAGGGCACACATCCGGAGTACAGTGTGCTGCTTTCTCGCCCAATGGGAGACGTGTTGTCTCCGGATCTACTGACAACACAGTTCGAATATGGGACGTTGAGACAGGGAAAGTCGTTTCTGGACCTTACGAAGCTCACTATAGTGGTGTGGACTTCGTCGCGTTCTCTCCCGACGGGACGAGAGTTATCTCATGCGACGGGTTTGTGATCCGAATCTGGGATGCCGAGGGCGAACAGGCCAATTTGGACAAGTTCGAAGGGCATGAGGATACAATAAGTTCTGTTGCATTTTCGCCCGATGGGAAACTCGTCGTCTCTGGTTCTTTCGACGGAACAATTCGAGTCTGGGACGCAGAAAGTGGGTGTACAGTTTCCGGGCCTTTCAAAGGACATTCAGAGCAGTCCGAAAAGATCCTTTCTATTTCCTTCTCGCCGGATGGTGAGCGCGTCGTCTCCGGCTCTGGAGATGGTACAATCCTAGTCTGGGACGTTGGAAGTGGAGAGATCGTTTCCGGACCTTTTAAAGGACATGAAGACCGGGTCGAGTCCGTTTCGTTCTCTGCTGATGGAGCACGTGTCATCTCTGGTTCGTTGGATGGCACGATCCGATTCTGGGACGTTCACAGTGGACAGACTAGTTCTGTTTCTAGGGTTTTTAGAAGGCGCACACAAGACGTTGAATCTGTTGTTTCCTTGTCTGATGAGGGTTGTATTGGCTATGATTCTCAAGATAGCCATAAGAATTGTCGAACTTCGGGCGATCAAAGAAGACTTTACACCTCTAAGTTATCTGAGAATGACAAGGACCAGGACGGGCCAGACATCTCATCTATTGCTTTCTCGCCTGACGGGGTACGAGCCGCGTCTGGGTTTGAGGATGGAACATTCATTGTATGGGACGTTAAAAGTGGAGAAGTCATTTCTGGACCTTTGAAAGAACACGAGAGTTGGGTTTATTCAGTGGCTTTCTCGCGTGATGGAACGAATATCGTCTCTGGCGATGGTACTGGCACCATCATAATCTGGGATGCTAAGAGTGGGCAGATCGTACGCAAACTTTCAGATGACCATACCGCACTAGTTGTATCACTTGCTTTCTCATCTGACGGCACACGCGTCGTCTCGGGTTCTTACGACAACACAATCCGAGTCTGGGATGTTAAGAGTAGACAGACAATCTTTGCACCTTTTGAAGGGCACACGGACTGGGTCCGGTCCGTCGCATTCTCACCAGATGGAAGTCGTGTCGTTTCTAGCTCTTGGGATTGTACAATCAGAATATGGAATGTAAAAGGTGCGCAGACAGCTTCTGTCTTCAACAGTCAATATTAATGAATGACCCCTCATTACGTTATTCGTGGCATAGATCCTGTCTTTGACTGGACATTGGACAAAGACGACGAATGGATACGTGGACCCAAAGGGGAGTTGCTCTTCTGGGTTCCTCCTGATGATCGCCACACGCTATGGCGACCACGAAATACTGCAATCTTCGGTTGCCAATTCTCAACACAGTTGGACTTCACAAACGCTGCTCTTGGTGAACGATGGGAAGAATGCTTCGCACCACCTAAATGACAACATTCTCTTGCTCTTTGCTCGATCTACACAGCTTGTTCGTCTCACTCATACTATTTCGATAGATGGCATGTATGCATATGTGGAGGTATTCATCCAGGGTAACAAGTAGGTAACGAACGTCATTGTAACAAAGCATCAAGCAAGCAATGTAATGCAATATTAATATCTATTAGTTAGGAAAAGAAAAGAAAAACAAAAGGAAGGGAAAGATGTACTCCAGGCCTCCAGTAGATAGATAAGCAAAGTGAACAGAGCAAAGGAAACATAACAAATAAAGAACGTTATTAAATAACTTCGACTCCGGAATCCAAAACCAAAGTCGAGTAACGCAAACAAACTCTCAAGTCTTCCCTCTCACACCTCTATAAACCAGTCTTACGCCGTCAAATCGCACACCCCAGGCCTAAGCGCACACCAAAGTGGTTGAAGACTAATCGTCTTCGTACCTCTCGCCCGTGTTCTAAAACTCCAATCATGCAATCTCGGCAACGCACTCTGCACTCCTTGCAAACTCGTGCGGTTCACCCCGCCTGGTAGCTGGTCACCGGTCCAGAATACCTCTGCAGCTGACGCTGCACGTGGCCAAATGATCGAATCCATGTTCTCCGGGGAGGATTGTTCGGTCCAGAGGAGAGACTCTCCACCGAGGACGAGAGGATATTGGTCCGATGTGAGGTTACCGTATGGGTCGAAGGAGTAGGATTTTTGCCAGGTTTTGAAGGGGTCGCACCAGGAGTTTCTGTTAATTTCGTCGTTAGTCAGCCATTTGGTTTTGCATAGTAAAAGGAAGTAAACATACCCTGCGGGGTTCGCACCGACCCAACCGCCTGCACCACAGTCAAGGTAGAAGTAATCTGATGCAGCGTGTACGATCTGGAAGCCTTTCTCTGCAACGGCTTTGACGTCGTCCGATGAGATCCAGACCATGACGACTGTGTCATTTTCAAGCGTCACGTTATGCTGCAAAACCATCTCTACAAAAGTAAAAATAAAAGATCAGCAAATTATCCGAAAAGGAAACTATCCTAACAGGAAACAAACTTACCCTCCCAAACAACAGGCGTCTTCCCAGCATCCCTAACAGCCTTATGCGTAACGTTCGTAAACCCATCAAGCGCCTGCTCAATAGTCTTCCCACTCGAACTCAAACTCTGCTGCGTCTCCTCATCATTCTGATAACAGTTCGCGTTAATCTCATCTCCTCCCGTGCTAAACAAACTCGACGGGAACAAATTCGCTACATCTGCCAACAAGCTCGCAGTGAAGTTCGCAGTATCGTCTGAAGCGATACGTAATTGACCCGCAGGAGGCTCGTTAGCGTAGGTAGCCCAGGGAGTCTTACCCGCACACGCTACGTGTTCCGGGTGAGAAGCCGATATCGCAGAGGTATGTCCGGGAGTATCGACCTCGACGAGAACGTCAATACCGCGCGAAGCAGCGAACGCAACGACTTTGGATACATCTCCTGCTGTGTAGATCGAGTCGTTTGAGTACGCGCCTGCTTTAGCGATCTCTGGGAAGTTGGGGAGTTTGAGCGGGAATGATTGCGAATCGACGATATGCCAGTGGAACTGGTTCAATTTGACCCAGCTCATGGTATCGAGCAGGCGATTAATATCATCTACTGGGAAGCTAAATAAAAATAAATCAGAATATATGCCAATATTCCAAATTTAGAAAGTTATTTACTAGTTACGAGCAGTATCGAGCATGAACCCTCTATACGGCTACACAAACAAACACAAACACCGATCAGTTATGCAAAAAAGGAAGCATACATAACACAGAAGAAGCTACTCACGAAAGCCGGACTGTCAGTAATCTGCCAAGGCGCACCAATAGCAAAAGTCGTATTATCCACAGTATACCAAAGCTGACCAAACGTAGTCAACCCTCTAAATAACCCCAGCGTAGTGTTCGCAGTCAACTTCGCCTCGCCTCCTTCAGCAGGAATATTCAAACTATAACTCTCATCGCGTTCCTTAGGTGGTTTCACAACCTCCTCGCTAATCGTGGTCACATTACTTGCATCAGTAAGGTAGAGCTGAAGCGAGGTAAGTTGTGGTGAGGATGACATGTTTCCGGCGAGGGAGGCTCCGCGGTCAACGTTAAGCGGTTGGAGCTTGTCGTTGTGCAGATAGAGCATCGTACGATCGCAGGCATCTCTAAAGTCGGCCGGCTTCTCAAACGAGGCATTGATAGAGAAGTTGCTCGCAAGAAGGAGAGGAGCGTTGCCCGAGGTAAAGTTGCGCGGGAGGGGCCAGAGAGCGGCTACACTGAGCGGAACGAGGGCCGCAAGTGCCGAAAGGCACGTAAGTCTCTTAAGCATTGTATTCTTTACTTTTCAGACTCCAATTTCACTTCTATTTGTTTTTCTCCTCTTCGTTTTCGTTTTTGAATGTTAGGGTGGTAAGAAAGAGCGAGGGGGGAGGAAGAGAAAGCTAAGGGGAGCATTGAAATGCAATGCGGGTATTTAAATGGCGGGGCGGCTGGCAGAAGGAGGAATGGAATCTGACGAATGATGTCGCATACCAGCAGAAACGTCGGCAAACGAAGCCCGTCCTCTCCGCCAACTTGCCAACTGCAGATCGTTTTGCGCTGGCGCCTGTCACGTGTTCCCTCCTCTGCCTGATCCATATGCATATTCCGTCTATTATTAGATAGCAAAGGGGTTCAGACGCGCATAGTCAGCCTCACAGGGACTATCTCCCCCGCCTCAAGGCATCACACATCATACAGAACACACGTCTACATGTGCTCGACGGCTTGTATACCAAATACCGTTCGGGTTCTATTCTCCGACTCGTCCGCACATCCCATCTGACCATTCAATATATCACTAACCCATTCGGAACTGATAAATATGGCTCCATCAATCCTGAGGGCAGATCCCGACCGCGGATCACAGAAGCAAATCATCATCTCCCCCAGCACTACCACCCGTACCAGCACCTGTGCTACTACTCCCGAGTCCCGTACTTCCAAGCCCCATCGAGCTGCCTGTTGCACCAGGTCGCTGCTGCTGTCCCTGACCCATTCCACCCCAAATACTTGCCTGTGCCTTCTCCTTCTCCAAGTCCTTAATCGACTTTGATCCGCTTCCACTCGCATTGTTGTTCCCCGTCTTATTGGTCCCAAGCGACATGTTCCATAAGTCATCAAACCCACCAGCAGCAGAAGATCCCGGCCGTGCAGAAGATGCCGCGGTCCCTGTCGCAGCTTTCGCCGTCGTTGATACGGAACCAAATGATCCGGCCGTCTGTGCACCCGGACGCGTCCCCATCGGCCCCGTTCCTGTCGAAGATGCCGACATCGGAGTCATCACTCCAGATCCTGAGCCACCAAACACGTTCGGTGACATCGGTGGAGAAGTCACAAACGAGGATCGGTTCGCTGTGGGCGACATCGCCGCACCATAATTGCCCTGCAAAGGAATGGCTTGCATTGGCTTTTGCTGCTGTTGCAATTGAGGCTGAACAGCAGCCTGCACAGGTGGTTGTGACGCCGCAAGTGGTACCGATCCAAGCGCGTCAAAGATGTTTCCACTCGGCTTCGCTGGTGTTGCGCTCGGGGCTGGAGAAACCGGAGCCGACGAAGGCGCAGTCTGGAACTCGGCAAATTCATCGTCTCCGTCTATTAAAGTGTTCATTAACAGATACTCCCATATGTCATAAACACACGTACCATCTAATGGGTTGGAGGGTAACGCCTTCTCAGCAGCTTTACCTGTCGAAGAAGGTGCTGGGATAGACGCAGACGTAGCAGTAGAAAAATCGTCATCGTCTCCAAATCCAAGGAGATCAACGACCTTCTCTTGCGCCTTAGACGCTGGTTGCTTCGATGCCTGTCTCGTGGAGGTACTGGTAGCGCCAGTTCCAGATCCACTCGATGTCGCGAGTGAATTTGAGCGGCGAGGCGCGGAAATTTCATCATCTCCTGCGTTATACTCATCAAAGCGTCGTTCATCGCGGAAGCCACTACTCGAGCTTCCACCTCCTCCATATCCTCCGTAATCTGCAAACACGTCAATTTCCCACAAAACCCAGAGCGAAATGTTGAACTGTACCGCGATCATATCCACCTCCGCCGTAGCTTCTGCTCCCACCGTAGCTGTCATTCCCAAAGCCGCCATATCGGCCTCCAGTATAACTCATAGGGTCGTTTCCTTGTCCAATATACTTGTTGCGGTTGGCTTTTGCTTTCCTTCGCTCGGCGCGAATACGATCCACGTCCATGAGCAACTCCGTGAGCTCTTTGGCGCGATTTCGCACTATTTCGCGAAAAACTCAACACACAGAAAACCCAAAGAAATAAGGTAAAACCGACCGTTGATCCCCTGATCCTTCCCTTTCTCGTCTATGTAGTGGAAGTTGCGCAGCATTTTGATAGTGGAAAGATGTGATCGCGCGTCATCCACAACACGTTCGCTCCCGTGCTTAACAATATATTCAAGTAGTTGCAGGGCCTACATAGCAAAATTGTCAGTAAAAAAAATGCCTATTGCTATGCTGGCTGAACAGCTGCTTACCTTGTAGATTTCGCGCCACTGACGTGCTTCCTTGTCCATAAACCGGGAATAAATACATGGCATAATTTCGTTGAATTGCTGACTGTAAGCACGTCAAATGTCAACAACACAGTCTCACGCTCTTCATATCGAGTAATTCGACAACTGACAAGTTGTGTGTTCTGCGTACAGGAAATAAATCATATTAATATGAGGTGTGGACAAGGCTTAATGGACAAGACCACCCACCCAGCTGCGATCTCCTGCATCAGCGTCGAGCTCGCACCCCTGTTACCCAATACAACACATTGCATCATCAGCGCCCACCTCTTCCACACGAACGCAAACGAAGCAAAGGAACACACCAAGGGTCGTCGTTCGTCGCCTCTCGCACTTTGGCCTCCATCTCTGATACGTTGAGTACCATGTTTTTCGCCTTTGGTAGCCGCGTGTGAGTAAATTAGGCATTAAGTGATTCGTAAAAGCCGCGTAAAAAGATGTGTATGTAGTTGTGCTCGACGAGCGTACCTGGTTGTACACCGACTTAATGTCGTACATCGTCACCTGCGAGAGGGCATTTCCCAACGACTCCAGTCGGTCCATCTCGAAGCAGTAAAAGTACGCTTTGTAAGTGCTTTTTGAATATACAGGAATGAGCAGCGATGAGGAAAGCAGGAAGAGATGCACAGACGAGATTGAATTGGTGAGGTGCACGGTGTTGACCAGAATGGAAACTGACCGTCATTACGCACGTGCTCAGAGTAAAATTAAAATAAAATAAAATAAAATAAACAAAATAACCTCATTTCTAGATCCTATATTGGATCATTCTTACCAATACCGGCTTGTCAATTGGTCTACATAGTAAAGAGAATTATCCGCTCCTCAATTCATGGATAAATAAAACACAAAATAAATATTGCGATAGCTTTTCTTTTTTCTCTTCTACTGTTCTACACCTTCTCGGACATGGCGGACATGTCTGACACACCATGGGTCTTATGTAGATCTACCCAGTAACACCACCTACTACTACTTCTTTCGGCTGTGCTTGCTGTATCTCGAACCTCCACTCACCGTCGAGCCAGTGGTGCTACTTCCTAGCCGTAGCGTACTGACGGGTGAACGCTCGTGGGGCGGCTTGTCTTTATCCCTTTCTAACTTTTCCATTACTCGTTCAACTTTATCTTATTGAAAAAGGTCGGCAATATGAATGTCAGTTTTCGGGTTCGGAAATCAGACAACAGTGTAATTTTGCCTACCACTTAGCCTCCTCGAACTTCTTTTTGCTTTCTCAATTTGTGCCGACGTACCGCCCGAGTACGTGACATCCCAAGCCGGATCTCTTCGTTCGTACTGAGACGAGCTTCTGCTACTATCTGGTGGGTCTGACTCCTCCTCAGCATCTTCCACTCCCTCGTCCTCCTCCTGAACTTCCGTCAACTCTCCAACGTCCTTATCCTCATCACTGTTGCGTACATCTCCTTTGCCTCTTGCTTCCTCTACCCTCATGTGATCCTCGATATTTCTGCTGCCGACATTGTCAGCGTGTACACGTCTGGACTTCGACTGTATTTTCTTTCCCGATTTATCAGGCGTATGCGATTGTGTTGTTCGCTTTGAGACTTCTCGATGCTCTTTAGTGCGTTTTTCGGGCATTGACTTGGTGGAACGCCTTGAGACATGTTGCGGCGGCCTTGGTTTGCGAGGTTCGCTCTTTGGCACCGAGTCATTGTTGGATGTGGAATGTCTCTTCGTGTGTACAGACCGACGCACGAGTCCACGGTCGGTCATAAGAGTAGCTCCCTTATCTAGAGCATTCTCTCTCTGCAACTGGGCAGATTTAACACTAACACTTTCTGGCTTTCTCACAGTTTCTGGTTGTTTAGTTGTGGAACCATTAATGCTTTGCCTCTTATCACTTGTAAATGCCACGTTAATATATTACCAATGACTAGTGAAAAGGGATGAATACTAACTGCCTGTGCCTCCCGGCCCTTCTGTCGCTAGAATCGGTGATAGTTTCGCACCTGTTTAATCCACGAGTTAATATGACGTGAGATAAGCAACATAAAACACTTCAATAGACCTACGTCGAGTGCAAGTCGGCGGACGAACGTTGACTCAAGCTTTCTAAAGCATCTTTGGTAAGAGGAGCTTGGCCAGGCTCTGGAGGTTCAGGGGGGTTCTGAACAGAAGTAGAACCGGCACGTTCCTCTTTTGATTCAGAAGCATGTGCTTTTTCGTTGGGTGTCTGAGGAGGTGTACTTGTATGCTTAGCACCAAGGCCTCTTTTTTTGCTGCTACCTGTACTCCCAGGAGGTGGAGAGACCGTTCGTACGGATTGAGCTGGAGTGGGTTTTTGCACCTTTATTACTGGGATAGCTGGTGATTCTGGTCGAGGAGTGCGTTCTCGATCCTCGACCTTTTCATTGTGTTGGTCTCCTGTAAGTGGAGCAACGCCAGCCGGCGAAAAGGCTACGTGTCTTGCTCTACTATCTCCCGCACCCGGAAACGGTTCTGCCACTTCGACAATTGGAGTCACTGGCGCGGGTGGTGGGACAGGCGCAACTGGATGCGACGTGCCTTTCAAAGAACCCGTGCTACTACTCCTCCGACTGTGGTAGTTTGAGCGTCTCCTATTCAAACCCGAAATGGACGGTTGGCGGACTAGTACAGTAGTACCTGGTTTCGGGACAAGCTTGAATTTCCCGTCCATTCTGCATAATCCTGCTCTGCAAGAAAGGAAGAATAAAACCTTCACTCGCCAATCGAATTGTTCAAATGTCGCAGGATCAATTTCCCAGCGCACCATCTTAATTCCATATGGGTCATCAGGATGAAGTTGCTCATATCTGGTGGGAGGTACGTCTTCATTCACAAGTTTTTCGGATGGAATATTCGTAACTGGGTAGATGGCCCTGCGGCTGTGGGTTGGACTATGGGCTGGGCTATGAGCTGAACTATGGGCCGAACTTTGAGCCGGTTTAGATGTTCTGCTGGGCTTAGATGCCCGGCTATGGGGCGCTGAACTATGTGCTGGTTTTGACGACTTAGAATGCCTAGATATGTGAGACTTGCGAGATTGCTGTGACTTGTGCGATTGGTGATCTGCACTTTCAGCTAACGTGAACTCTACCGCAGGGCGTGGAATCAACTTGCTGGCTGCCGGGCCTATGTCCATGTTATGTATTTCTAAGAACTGTTTCGCGCGGAAGTTTGTTAGAAGTCATCCCAAAATAACTATTTCCAATTAAGAAACGCACTTGGTGGGACAACGCATCTGACGCCGTCATCCTTGTGCCGAGGTCCGGGTCGAGTAACTTTTCTATGAAAGCTCTCGCAAAAGTGTATTCTTAAAATTCGTTAAATCCCTCAGTCATTCGCAAGAGTCCATAACCAACCTATTTCATCAGGAAACGGCGTCCAGTCGATACCACCTTTTATCGTGTCCGAAGCGTGCCGCGCTAACATATCAGCAGCCTTGATAATTGGAACGTCCGTCTGCCTTGCTGTACGCGTGTTTTATTTGAGCACATAGGTATGCAAGGCGTCTTTAAAGAGCTCACCCAAGTAAGTTTCAGAGGGCGAACGGCCATGAGCCCTTTTCTCATCTGCCCGCTCCACCACCTTTTCTTTCACTTTCGCTGCTGAGATAGACCGGAACGGAAACTCCGCAGTGAGACAGGCGTAAGTGACAATCCTGCGTCGACAACAGCATCAACCTGAGTCGAAGTACGCGAGTGGCATAGAAAAGTTTACCCAAATGACCACATATCATTCTCCTCTCCTATTTGCTGATTTTGCCACAGCTCTGGAGAGATATACTCCGTCGTGCCACACGCGATAATACCCTTCTTTACGTCATCACTGAGGTCCTTAAGGAACGATCTGGGATTGTAATCACATTATTATATTCCCCCACAGACATTACCCGAATGATAACCACGCACAATCCCAGATCGCAGATGACAATCTTCGTCTGCGCTGTGTCCTTGAATAGAATGTTCTCCAACCTTTTAAAAGAAAAGAATTAACCCGTGCATGACACTGCGAATCAACAGGACATCACTCACTTTATGTCTCGATGTAGTACGTGTACGACATTATGCAAATGGTCTATTCCAAGTGCCACTTGTCTGTTCAGAAAGACAATGCATAAGTATGCGGAAGACGAATTTCGAAGTACTGAGCTGCACTGAGGAAGGCGACGCACTTTAAAATGCTTCTGGAATAATCGATTGCAAGTGGACCCATCTTGCTTACAAGTTGGAGTAAATTGCCTCCTTCAGCATATTCGAAGACGATGTAGTTGCAGGGATTTTCGTCGCCGACGCTTGATGCGCATATTAACTTCACCTTATCAATAGCAGAGTCAAGCAGCGTCAATAAGAAAGTGCTAAGTGACAAAAAAAATTTGCGGTTGCGTACAATGTTTTCATGGGGGTTTTTCTTGAGTTCTTCCAAGACTTTGACTTGGCCATCTACATCCACCGTCGGACTCGGATCAATTATCTTAATCGCCACCAGAGCATCAGTCTTCATATCTTTGTATTTCTGTATCATAACAAAGCGGGTAAGAATTGGAGACGAGCAATCCGCAGTGGCTGCTATAGTGAGGTGCGTACCCAGACAGAGCCATCGTATCCCTGACTCAAAATTTCCACAACTTGATAACCCGGTATATTCCTCTCCATTTGGTCTACAAAAAAACTTTATTCGACGTCGTTGGCGTGTAGCAATCAGATCAAGTTTGCGGACGGGATCCAGCCACTGGCATGGGGCGGGTATCTGGTTAATATCAGTCTTCTAGCAGTGCCACACGCGTAATATCAACGTAGGACCTGAGGACTGGCAAACGCAAAGTAGCGTTAGAGAGCTAGCGATGATTGTCGACTTGTAGGGACGTACTTTAAATGATTAACCTTAGCAAGTATTAGCTCCGCTTCTTCACCTTATTCAGTTGCAAACCCCGAGAGCGAAAAATTTCGTCTTCGCTGAGTAGGTGTCCAATCAGCTTGTCGCCACGTACGATGTAATACTGCAGCACAATACGACATCTAATGTTGTTGCTCAGAAATTTATGATGTATGATGTTGTGTCCTGTGCGAGCTCTACTCGCGCCATCGACAATGCTCATAGTATCATGACTTTTAAGGCAATATATAATTCATGACAATAATCCCTCAATAGTAATGTCTCTGGGGAAGAAAGTGCAAACAGGTGAGATAATGGCATAGTTACGTAGAAATGTGCTAACACACTTGCGATATTCCCAATAAGCGTATTTGTCCACCTCGCAGCCCAATCAACTAGCGCCACTGATTTCCAACTTATGATGAGACGACAAATCGCTTACCATTCAAGCGTACTTCAGAAATACCAATATTTCGAATAGCACGAAGAACTGCTTTGCACTGCGCCACTCCGACCGAGGACTGCTACAGTCAATCATCGTTGTCATCGCCCATTTCGAGGTCACCCTCGACGCCAGCGCCAGCGCCGAAGTCATCGAATTCTTCCTCTAACTCACCACCTTCCTCCCAACCGCGCCTTTCCTTGTATACGTCTCGCTCAGCTCCATTTTGTAAGTTTGACGGCGGATCCTCGTTATCATCAGCTGACAGGAATAGCGGCTTTTCCAATGAGGATCGGACAACTTGGAGCACGTCTTCCATGCTATCCCCGAACCTGTCTTCAATCTCTTCTACGATCTATCCACCAGTTGGATTAGCATCGAAGACGAAAAGATTTAAAGGTTAATGAACTGACGACATATAACTCAACAGGCTCTGTCGGTGCGAGGTTCACGATTTGCAATTTCTCTGCTTTCGTGAGATCAAATTGGTTTAATCCACGAACGAGCTGCGTTATCGATTCTGGCGACTGAGAATTTGTAGGTTGGAAATCTGCGGTCAAATATTGGATCGCCTACAACGATGTTACATTCCATCAGCACGTTGACGTATAGAATTATTATGCAATAGTATATCTACCTCAACTTCAACTGTTCGCAAGTTCTCGCTCACCTCTTCCTGCACAAATGCATTCGCGAGCGATGAAGTATTCGTGTCGGTCATGCCCGACGCCAGCCGTTCCTCCTCCTCCTTTTTGATACGAATAGCCGTCTTTTGGCGTGCGAGTTGTTCGCTTTCTAGTTCTTTGAGGAGTGTGAGGACTTCATAATTTGATAGAAGCGCTGTACGAGGGGCAACTATCTGGCGACAGAAAGAGTTTTCTAATGATTCAGTAAATAAAGTCGGGTGTAGACATACTTCCATGGACATTTTGAGAAATACTTTGGGTTGATATCTACAAAGCACCCATGCGCGCCCAGAAATGAGCTAACAGGGAGGGAAAGAGTAAGAGTCTAAGAAAGAGAACGTGATTCGTTTCATAACATTACAACAAAATAAATATAACATAATATATTATATAAGTTTATTTTTTATTTTCTCACGGCTGCTTAAAGAAGGATATTTTAAACGATGTATGAATTACATCACAGCTCCAATCCTCCCACATAGGCGTCCGCTGAAATGCAACAACGGGCTTGTCCGCTTTTGCTTTAACCACAACCATGGATGTGGGGAACAAGAATACACCCTCTGGAACATCAGACGGCCTTGAGCTGCAACTCAACCTACGTAATGACCGACCGCGCCCGGAACAGTTTCGCGTACTAATTTGTAGGCTCTCCGATTATTACTTCTATTCTGAGGTGATATTGACTACCAGTAAATGAAGTCGGGACGTTTCTGAGATTCTTTATTGATTTCCTCAGTCTTCCCATCTACCTCGCATACGATAAGTATAGGTTCAAGACGCACATCGACACTGGCCGGACGGGAAAATGTCGAGTTTGTATATATGTCCCAAAGACGATGAAGGACGGTGATTTTGACACTCCTCGCGGGGTTATCGTGTATCTTCACGGGGGTGGCTGGACAATGTATATGACGTCTTTCTTTTGATCATCGTATGGAAGCCGTTCTAATTGTGGCGAATAGAGGCCGACCAGAAACAGAGGCTCCGATATGCCGATATCTGGCAGATACCGTCGGTGTAGTCGTCGTTGCGCCGGACTACCGAAAAGCACCTAGTAAATTCTCTTACTCAATATCTCACTACATCTCACGGACTAAGCGTCGTAAATTACAGAATACCCGTATCCCCACGCTTTGGAGCAGACCTATCAAGTTACTTCCTGGATAGCCTCGTGCGTCTCGCATTTCCCGATTTCTACTATTGCTCGTAATATTCGCTCACATCGTATCACATCTATCATTCAAAATGAAATAGTGGTGGCCTTTCAACTGCTCTGAAAAACTCTCGTATCCAAGAGGCTTGTGCGCTCCAGGTTGACACCAAGCGGGTTGGGATAGCGGGTGGCAGCGCAGGTTCTAACCTTGCTTGTGCCCTCTCCACACTTTGCATCTCTCGACCACTACCAAACGGCGCAAAAGTTGTTGCACAGGGATTGCTATATCCTGTACTGGATCTAGCTGTCCCCTACGAAGAGAAGTTGGCACGTGTAGATCCTGAGAGGGTTCTACCTCAATGGATGTCGAGATTTTTCTTGGTTAGATTCCCTCTGTTATCTTCTCTGACGCTAACATAACCTACTAATGATCACCCGCAGCGTGCATATCTCCCGCCTCCTCGCCTCACCTCCGATTCTTTAGTCTCTCCTGCACTCTCTCCAGACTCCATCGCTTCGCAATTACCACCAACCATAATACTAACAGCAGAATATGACTACCTCGCACACGAAGCCGACACGTTTGCTACTCGTCTTGAAGCCCTCAACGTTAAGGTTCGTCACAGAAGGTTCGAAAGTGTCGGACATGGGTTTGATGGCATCCCGACGTGGGATAAGAAACAGCGGATGTTAAATTCAAAGGCTAGGGACGAAGCGTGGGGGATGATCGCGGACGTCATGAAGGAGACATTAGTTTAATACGATCGTAATGGGTGGAGCGGAAGGACACTTACGGTAATGATATGTAGTTGTGCACATACCTCGTTCATGTTGACTAATAAGTTGTTAAATGATTCACATGCATCAATCTCTTTTTTCTAAAAAAAATACAAGTTGCACCAATCATTAGAACAATTTTTTGAGCCATTCACGCAATATGTTTATTTGGGAATCTTCTGCCGGTTCGGCTACATGTAGGTTGTTAACATTCTCCTTTCACCAGAGCATCATATAGTGCTATCTGTTATCTGTGTTCTAGTTTATGGATGTTTACTTTCAAATTGCCTCACCATTCCAGGAATATCACGTGGAGGCTCTTCAGGTTAGCCGAATTTGCAGGGCGCCTTTCTCCCCATCCCTACATGCACTCAACGTCCGTGTCGCTTTTCTGCTTCTTTCGTTTAAATACAGGAGCCACCTGCACAATCTGAAACCCGTTTAAATGTTACCTCCGCACCTACATGTATGAATGGAGGGAATCCTTGCGTACCTTGCCACCTACAAGCATTTGAATCCTAGTGGTTGCTAGGCAGACTTCCGTTCCTCTGGGTAAACTGACTCGCCTCTAATTTCTCTCCTCCAGGGAAGCCTTTGGGGCTCATCGGAGTGATGGCGTCCCGTTCGTTTCATCTGACTATTGAGGTATCAAGTCATGCGCTATACTATGCAGACAATGGCATGGTAAAGGGGAGTAGGGTCTGTAGGCCCTCATACGAGATCTGTTGTATAAAATAAACCTTCAAAATGCTGGTTTTGCTTCACTACTCGCTCGACTCTCCTACACTTGAGCAGTATTCTACAGAGACCTGAGCTATGAACTTCTCCTCTGACTGGCAACTCATGCCGACACAGATGAACTCAGCGTTGGACCTGAAGGTCGCGCCCAATTCCATTCCCTTCTACTGGTAGGGATTTGCGTTGTGGTCGTCTCACTTTCCAGACTTTTCAAAAACACGAAGCTTGAAGTAAATCTTGTACATTTACAGAGGAGCTTAGCTTATCGTTCCCTGAACAGGTCAACGTCCCTATCGAAGGCTCCTCTGGAGTTGTATCATCGTACGTCGATGCATACGACTTCATCGCAAACGCCCAGTCTGTACTGGAGCAAGCTTATGAGAAAGTCTGTTCATAACTTACTGCATTAACTTGTGACTAATCTCACTCATACCAATGTCCAGTACAAAAACGGAGTTTTCAAGATTGCTGAGATGAATCGATTCACTATTATAATAAATAACCGTGATATGATCGAAGAGATTAGGAAGGCTCCGGACAGCACGACTACTTTCGTTGCGGCAATAGCCGACGTATGCCATAGAGCAGCTTGTTACAGATATTTAGTACTCAACAACGCTTTCTCCTAGGACTTTGCATTCTGTTGGACACTTGGACAAAAATTCGCAACGGATACGTATCATCTTGGAACTATCCGTAACCAGCTTAATCACAACCTGGGCTTCTTGTTCGACGACATTCGCGACGAGATTATGCAGGCCTTCAATGACCTTATTCCAAAGGGTAACGGTATGCTACCTGGCAACTGTTGACACCTGGATTTCAGTGAATAACAGGTCCATCATTTCAGATTGGGTCTCTATCCCTGCATTGGACACAGCGAGAAAAGTCGTGTCAAGGACCAGTAACAGGATTTTGGTCGGCGTCCCTCTTTGTGAGTATCGGGTTATCTAACGAGACGAGTAATTCACGCTCTTGCATGCGCTGTGTAGGCAGGGACCCAGAGTATATTGAGCTCAGCATCAATTTCACTATTGACGTTATGGAAACGGTGTACAAGATCCAAGATGTACCTAACTTTCTGCGCCCGTAAGTATCCCAATATTACAAGTTAATATCTCACAACTAATTTCCACTCTGTAGCCTTGTTGGCGCCTACTTCAGCCCAACAACCCGAAGTGTCCGTCAGGCTGTGAAACTCCTCCGCCCTGTCCTTGAGGAACGATTTCGTATGTATGACGAAAATGGCGATGATTGGCCAGGTAAACCAGTGAGTAGTAAAATTTAAATCATTTAATACATCGCAGGGCGCGCTGACCAAATAAAGGTCGACATGATTTCTTGGCTCATTGATGATGCGCCGAAGAGCGGTAAACGAGACGTCCGCGATATTACGTTGAGGTTGCTTAATGTAAACTTTGCTGCTATACACACGTCCTCGAACGTAGGTAACACATCTTTTCGATCATAAGAATATCTTCCTCATCCATCGCATTACGTTTGCATTTCCGGAGTTTCACACAAGCTTTGTTCCAGCTTGCATCAGAGCCAAACTATAACCCACCTTTACGAGAAGAAATCGAACAAGTGATCAAGGAGGAGGGATGGTCGAAGATCGCAATGACGAAGATGTGGAAACTCGATAGTTTCATGAAAGAGAGCCAGCGAATGAACGTTGTCAACATGCGTAAGGAAGTCTACCCTAGTAAATTCAACACCCTCGTGATTCTAATATCTTAATACCTCTTCAAGTATCCCTGAACCGCAAGATACTCTCCAACCTCACCTTATCGGACGGTACCTTCCTACCCGCAGGCACATTCGTCGCCGCGAACTTGATAGGAGCACATCGTGACGAATCTTACTACCCAGATGCAAACAACTTCGACGGGTTCCGGTTCGCGAAGCTGCGCGAAGAAAGTCCGGAGGATGGTGGGAAGCACCAAATGGTCAACACGAGTCCGGAATATCTATCATTCGGACACGGACGTCATGCATGGTGAGTTAATTCCATATACATATACAATACATTCATACTGATAGTCTGATACCGCTTTTATCTATTCCACACTAACGCGATTGCCTGATATGCTCTTCGTAGTCCCGGCCGCTTCTTCGCAGCGAACGAGCTCAAGATAATGATGGCCTATCTGATTTTGAACTATGACGTGAAAGCCGAGGTAGACGGAGCACGGCCAGAGAACATATATCACCGGTCTCTATTAATTCCAAACCCCACAGCTAAAATTCTGCTCAAGAAACGAACGGACGCATAAACGCATAAACACATCACCTGCTCTGTCATAGTATGTTGCACTGTAGTATACACAGCATGAATACTGTAGAAGAAGACCAGTGAGACAAGAATAAGAAGTTAGGAGTTACTGAATGTACTTAAAGTTGATGCTCTGAGGAACTTGTGATGCTCAACCTGTCGTAATATTTACCATTTAGAATAGTATATTAGCTTTTGTACGTTCTGTTGACTGAGTCTGAGCTCGAGAGTAGAGTTATTGAATCCGACACACTTCCAAACCGTGCATGTACGTATCCGAACACCTTGACAAGGTGGTATCAGTACATAGCAGACCTTAGTATCAATCACGCTTACGCATTGAAATATAATGAGAGTTGAGCGAGATGATATTGATGAATCCCGTTAAATAACAAATAGACAGCCAAGTAAAATACAAATCAACTGGATACAAATCGAAAGGAATCGAAATAGAAGAAGCGAAAAAATGGCAAAAGAAAAAAAAATCAAACCGGAACTAAAGCCAAAACAGAAAATGGAAGGAGATAGCACGACGAAAAAAAAAATTCTCTAAACACAAAAACCATCAATTAATTCGAACCTCGAATCGTGCGTACTGCAAATAAAAAGTCCAGTTCCAATAGTCATGATAGGTCGTATAGGTCGTAACGTCGTAACTTCTCACATCTCCCCTGAAGCTCTACATCTAGTGTCCGTCCTTGGTTCGTTCTATCGGACTTCATACGGATGCCGCGCAAGTTCATCATACAAGTCCGCAGGGATGTCGCGTACAAGCGTTACAGCTATCCCAATGATAGACTGTGCTTCGAGAGGAGGGAGTGTACGGAGGAGCTTCATTGGACTACATTCCAAGATCAGAATAAGTAATATCGTATCGTATCATATCAGATCGCCTCGTCAGTTTCTATTGTCTTAAAGAAAGAAAGAGTAAGGATGGACTAACCTTTTGCTAACCATAAGCTCGTCCCGAATAAGAAGCAGTTGCGCGATGACGCAGAGCACGTTAAGGTGTACGCCGAAGGCGAGGAGGAAGTCCCATAGTTGGAGGACTTGGTCTAGGGGAGGTGTACATGCGCAGAGGGTCATAACAGCTGGACATTGTTCGACGTCAGAGATAAATTATAGCGTGAGCGAGATGTAGGTAAGAGGACTGACAAGGAAATGCGTATATCTCTGCTGAGAGTCTCTTCGAACGCAGATGGTCAAAGAGCTCAGGATCGACGATCTTTAGACATCTGTCAAGTAACTATACGACAACATAAGTTCCAAATCATGCAAAGTAGCATAGTAGACTTACCTTCAACCCTCGATGTACACCCTCTAACGTCTGCTGCACATAAAGCGGACAGGAGTACTCAATGAACCTCGCAAAGCAAAAGAACGCGTCTAGTTCCGAAGGCATCGTGTATAAGAATGGGGCAGCCAGAACGTTCATGCCCTGTACATATGTAAATGATAAGGGATGAGGGATGATGCGTTGAACCTCGGCGAGTTCTTGACGTTCGTGGTTCCTCCAGACGAAGGCATCGAGGAGGCGTACAAGCATGTCTTCTCGGACGCGTTCTTTGAATCCACGATCAGTTGCCAACGTTCTAAGAGCAAGACAGAGTGAGAAGGAAAACAGAATGAATAGTGCTAGAAGGGAACTGACCTGAAGGTATCGTTCCGGATCTTCTCTTTGAATTCACAAGGCCCCTTACCGACATATCGAAGATACTTGTCCGCCGATAGATTATTTACCCCTAGAAGAATCTTCCATATTCGAGGACGTAGTGTTGGGTCCTAAATACACGTGTCAATACTTCCCCATACCTACGTAACAAAAAGCGGAGTGGACATGACATACGATTGTGTAAGGGATGCCATCGACAAGGATGAGCCGACGGAGCTTCTTAATACCTTCTTCAATCTGCTTGTCCGTCCTCGGAGCCGTGCCACTCAGTTTCGGCTGGTTGAGGATACGGTTGAAAGTCTTTGCTGCTCGCTGAGCGTCGTCCGTCATGACTGTCGGACGGAAGGTGGAACGATCACGGTTGTGCAACGCCCTGGCCTAACAAACCACCCACGTCGATCTGCGTGTCCACCCTCACGTGAGGCTTCTAGACCTCCTTATTTCATTTCATTCTTATTGAAGTTATTCTTCCTTAAGATTGCTCGTAGCAGGTGACTCGCAAGATTAATCCCCTCTCCTCCCGCCTTCATGCCGCTCTGCGGTTCCAACGTCCGCGTACATCGCTAGCCACACGTATGGCGAAGGCAGGCTTCTACGCAGTCGCCAAAGGGCGCGTTCCTGGTATATACGCATCCTGGTATGTCCAGTTCATTTTGAGCATCCTAATATTATTATCATAGACTGCGTTCCGCAGTATTAGTATTATTATTATTGATATGTGAAATGACAGGGATGACTGTGAAGAACAAGTAAAGGGATTCAATGGCGCCAAGTATAAAAAGTTCAGGACGCTGCGCGAGGCGGAGCAGTTCGTTGGCATCCCTAGTACGGCTTCTACGTCGACCTCGATAACGTCTCCGTCTCGTAGTATTTCTCGTTTTGATCCTGTCCAGAGAGCGGTGGGTATGTCTGAGGATTCGAAGACCAACTCAAAACCGAACGTCTCGCCGGAAGATGCTGAGAGCGAAGAGGGGTATGATGTCGTTTATGCGGATGGCGCATGCAAAGGAAATGGTCAGGTTGGCAGTGTTGCGGGTGTTGGAGTCTGGTGGGGACATAATGATCCAAGGTATGTTCCTTTCACCCTTTACTTTCAAGTACTCTGTCTTAAAGTTACTGGAGGAATATTGCGGAACGATGTCCTGGCGCCCAGACGAATAACAGAGCAGAACTCATTGTACGTAGCATTCTCCTTAAATCTAGTATTTATTGTTAATTCCCACCTTTCTGCAGGCAATCGTCCGCGTCCTCGAACAAACTCCCCCATCCGGTCGTCCACTCATGATCAAGACAGATTCCACCTACTCCATCAAATGTACGTCAATCCCACTCCTTCATAATCATAATTTATATCTCCTTCCACTTCCTTACTTATACTTAATAACCACCCAGGCCTCAGAGAATGGCACCAATCCTGGGACCTCAACGGCTGGAAAACGAAATCCGGTAAACCCGTCCTAAACGCAGGCATCATTCGCTACCTCCTCTCCCTCCTCTCCCTCCGCCACTTCCAAGGCTCGAAAGTGAAATTCGTGTACGTTAAAGGCCATGCTGGGATTGAAGGGAACGAAGGTGCAGATAGACAGGCGAATTTGGGTACGCTTCTCCCCAAGGTCGAAGAACTTGATTGGGATAAGAAGCGTGAGAAGGTGGAGAAGGAGATTGAAGAGCTTGAGCTGGGTGTTGAGGTTAACGACAAGGTACTTGTCTTCTATATATCTATTGCTTGATTATCCATCGCGACGTCTGTTATCTGTAGGCCGTACAAGTGACGCCCGTAATGGACGAGGACGACGAGCTCTGGAAAAACGTAGGAGATCTAGACGTCGACGTCTTGGAAGAAGAAGAATCGCAGGTCTCCGCCGTCTCCACCATCCAATCGGCTTCTGAGACTGAGACTGAGCATGCTCCTGCTTCTGTTCCTGAGGCGAAGACCGACGAATCCGAGACTTCCGCCGAATCTTCTCAACATACAGATGTTTCCCACCCTAAACAAAACGAGCCTGCTACGCAAGAAAGTACCGTTGTACCTGATAGTGACGACTATGTACGTACACTCCTTACCTTTTAACCATCTTTCGGTTTAGTAACTGATGTCTGACGTGACAATCTATTACAGAGCATTGACGACTTGTTAAGCCCAGACGAGCTCGAAGCAGAGTTAGCTAATGCATAGTGCTAAAGAAAGTCAGAAAGAAAGCAAGAAAAGAATAGCTACTTTATGAATAATTTGTGAGAGTGGGAAACTCACTCTTTGAAACTAGATATATTTCTGCTGCTGCTGCTGTGCACGCAGACAGATTTCTATATATGTATCGTTAGTAATAAAATGCATATTGTCATTTAAATGGGATGGTGCTTTACTTTGTCGAAAAAGTCCGAAGACAGCAGCAGTGTCTCCATATAGATTAAATTACAGCATTTCGAATTCTTATTTACTATACAATTTACATTAGCATTTTAGCATTTTAAGTAAACATTCTGTCACTCATATGTAAAAAAAACTTTCAAGAACTAGTTTCCTTCCCCCACTCTCAACTTTGCTGACAACTCCTCATGCAGCACCTTTAACTCATCCATGTTCGCTTCTTGAGTCGGCCAACCGATTACAAGACCCTGTTCAGCGTTGGGTTTGGGAATAACGTGGAAATGGACGTGTTTTACCACCTGTAAATACAAGACACAATATAATCAAAATCAATTATGGTAAGCAAGGAGAGAATCCTTACCTGGTGCGCGAGCTCACCATTGTTCTGATGAATGAGTGCACAGTAAGGAGGCGCGTTTGTTAGTCAGTATGGCAATGACGATGGTAGTGAAAGGATAGTTGATAAAACATGTGAGGTTCAGAATACTGTACTCACCTGGAGGATGTTATAATTGTCGCATCCCAAAGCTCCAGCGATACGTTTTGAGACGAGTAGTGTATCGGCTAAGAAAGCGTCGTCGACGTCGGTGAGTTTTTCGCCGTGATCTATCAAACATTCCGCGTGAATATGATATTCAGGTAATACAATGCTTGGGTCGGGCTTGCCTTTTGGAATGACTAGGGCATGTCCGCGCGAAAGAGGTCCGATATCGAGGAAGGAGAATCTAGTGAGGGAAATAATCTCTAGATTGGCACAGATAATAATATGCATAGTACTGATGAACATACGAGAGATCAGTCTCGATGAGTTTGAAACTCGGGATTTCTCCTGCAGGTGCGATGTTTAGTCCGTTCGTAATTCATGTGTAAGTGTGAGAGATTCGCACCTTTGATAATCTTGCAGAAAAGACAAGACGCGAGAGATCTAATAGTGTTTCTTTAATAAGTACTCCTTCAGATGCTGCAATGTAGTTACCTTGCTACTGCTGCCATAGTGTGGGAATTGAATTCAAGCACGAGGAGGATCCAGTTGAAGTCATTGGCAGTATTTGTCTGTTTCCAAAGGGGGTAAGTGTTTCCCATCTGCAAAGTTTGTTGTTTACGGTACGTTATAAATATGCTTTTTAAATAATATGTATTCGCAAGGTGAGGGATAAAATACTGCATATATGCTCCATAAAATACACTTGGACGTACATAAAATATGGAATTAGGTTGATATTGATAAGCATGTTATACAGTAATTGGTATACTCTACGAACAAGGATTGAGGCATTGTAGGATGATACAAAATATAATCAAGTCGCTTAAACCGAGAGACAGGATGACGGTATCACTCAGGTCGGGCGAAGCCCTCTTGCCATCGTTTCCCGAGAGCAGCGTTCGTAAAGTCTAGCTTTGTCGAGAATGCGCAGTTGAACACAGCGGTATTTTGAGTGCGCCATAGCGTCGGACGAATATATGGAGGGATCCACAAGAGTAATTCTCCTTCGCGTCCACGTATCCATCCGTCTTTGTCCAAGGTCCAGTCAAAAACAGGATCTATTTCAAAAGAAAGAGACAAGACGTTAGTCACAGACTGCATGACCAGATGGAAGCTGTCTATCACCTTCTATATTCCACATTTTTATTGTGCGGTCCCAGGAACCAGAGACGATGCGTCGTCCATCGGGAGAGAATGTGACAGACCGAGCTGAACCCGTATGTCCTTCAAGAGGCGCAAACATGGCCTGTCCAGTCTCGGCGTCCCAGACTCGAACCGTCCTGTCGGAGGAACCGGAGGCAACGCGTGTTCTATCAGGAGAGAATACCACTGAACGAACCACTTTTGTGTGTCCTTTAAAAGGCCCGACTACGACTTGTCCACTCGCAACGTTCCAGACCAAGATGGTTGTGTCAGCAGAACCGGAGACAACACGCGTGCTGTCGGACGAGAAAGCTACTGACAGAACTGAATCTGTGTGTCCTCTCCAGGTTCCAGAAATCACATTCCCACTTTCAACGTCCCAAAGTATGATCGTTTTGTCGAGGGAGCCAGAGACAACACGTCTCCCATCAGGCGAGAAAGCAACAGACCGGACAGAGCTCTTATGCCCTTCGAAAGGACCAGAGGACATCTGACCACTCTTAACATCCCACATGCGGAGTGTTTTATCCTCAGAGCTGGACACAACATGTGTGCCATCTGGGGAGAAGGAGACGGTCCGAACTGCATCTTTATGTCCTTTGAAAGATCCAGAGACCATCTCTCCACTTTCAGTGTCCCAGACTCGAATTGTACGATCATCGGAACCAGATGCAACACATCTTCCATCCGGCGAGAAGGCAACCGATCAGACTGTACCTGAGTGCCCTTCGAAGGGTCCGGAAATAGTACGCCTACTTTCCGTGTCCCATATTCTAATCATATTGTCATGCGAACCCGAAGCGACGTGTTTGCCATGGGGCGAAAAGCAACAGAATTTATTTCTCGTCCATGCCCTTCGAAACACTTAGAACCTGACTGTACATTCTCGGCATCCCAGATTCGGATTGTGCAATCCCAGGCACCCGAGACGACACGGGTTCCGTCAGGAGAGAACGCAATGGACAGAAAGTTTAGGGAATGTCCTTCAAAAGGGATGGAGACGGTTTGTCTGCTTTCAATGTACCAGGTTCGAACTGTCCTATCGTCAGAGCCAGAGATGACACGTTCATCATCCGGCAAGAAGGCAACAGAACACACTACACTTGTATGTCCTATGAGAGGTCCGGAAATGCATTGCCCAGTCTCAGCGTTCCAGACTCGGATTGTTCGGTCTACAGAGCCTGAAACGACACGCCTAGCGTCACGAGAAAAAGCAACTGACATAACATGGCCTGCGTGACCTTCGAGAGGTCCGTAAATGGTCTGTCCACTCTTGGCATTCCAAATACGAATTGTCTTATCATCCGAGCCGGAAACGATGCGTTTGCTGTCGTGCGAGAAAGCAACAGACCGGACACTGCCGGAGTGCCCTTTGAAGGGTCCAGAACGGGCATGTCCACCGTCGACGTTCCAAATCAAGATGGTCTTGTCGGCTGATCCAGAGACGACAAGTTTCCCATCCGGCGAGAAAGCAACAGAATAAACCCAGCTGGTATGGCCTGTAAGAGGTCCAGAAATGACCCGCCCACTCTCAACATCCCAGATTCTGATTGCTCTATCAGAGGAACCGGAGACGACGAGCGTGCCGTCGGGCGAAAAAGCAACAGACCGGATTGAGCTTGTATGTCCTGCGAAAGGGCCGGAAATGATTCGACCACTCTCAGCGTCCCAAACTCGAATTGTCATATCACTGGAGCCGGAGGCAATACGAGTACCGTCGAGTGAAAATGCGACAGCAGTGACGACAGCGGTGTGTCCTGTAAGCTTCTTCAAGAGTGGTGACCGCTCCTTTACGCCAAGTTGCTGTACTTGAACTAGAAGTAAATCACGTTTCAACAAACTCATCAAAAACTTTGACTCCATCGATGCAAACAGAAGGACAGACACGTAGATGTGAGGTGTCGATCGCGAAATAGAAGGCAAATATACAGTGATCATTCTACGAGCATCCCTTAGACATCTGTATTGTGTGACTGATCGAATGGAATTAGCTTCTGCACCAACTGCATGTCTGTATACTCACTGAGATCCAATTCATGACATGAAGGAGAGCCTGGCCAGCGATGCCGATCTTTCCCAACAGACTCATCACCTCAAGCCAATACAGGAAACATTTATTAAGGAACTCTGATAGTTTGCTCAGCAACGCAGGTGAGAATTGTACTTCGCGTAGATGTTGCGCCCAGAAGAGGCATGCATACTCCAAGTGCAGAGGAATGTTCACCCTAACGCGATCTGGAAGGTCAGGGATTTGATCGTTAAAGAGGTGCGATGAGTCAATGCCGCATATGTTGAACCGGAGCCCGTCTTTCATCACGCCGAAGCATCGCGTAACAAGGAATAACTTCTGGGACTCCAAATCAATATACCAATTATCGCATTCGCGTTCTGGAGCCAATAAGTAGTCGCAGAAGGACGAATGGCAAATGCGAACAGGTGCTCCTGGAATATATACAAGCACGGATTGTAAACGCGAAAGAACAAGACGTGATGACTCTTCATCCGGATAACCTAGAATCCCGTCAATTACGCCATCGGATAACGTGATTTTGCAGAGAAGAATGAGGCTAAGGACTTGAGAAAAATTGCCCTTGGATATTTTGTCATCGAACGAGATACCCGAGGTGTCAAGGATAGTACGGTACAAGTTATTGAGTCCAGAGAGGGATTGTGATTGTGACACAAGGTCATTTAGTCGGCGGGAGGGATAGTCACGATCTATCAGCTTAACGGCTGTCGATGCCCAGACGAAAAGTCCACCAGCTGCATCTCCGAGGCGATCCATTTTCAATCGCCAATCATCCGTAATCTTCAGCATATTTTTAGTGAATATTTTTGCGCATCTCGTGATCAATATACCGACGCACGTCGTCCTTGCAGCTCGTCGAGTCGTGCTCCAGCTCGACAGCATAGACGGACTCAGGCCGAGAAGATAGTGCTCGATCAATGTCCAATTCCTTTCTGCTCGTTATGAGAAACCGGAAATTCTTTGGGAGCACAGGAAATCCTTCTCGCAAGACTTCTAGCAAGCTTTGTTGATTGGTGCTTGTTCCGCATTCATCCAATGCGTCGAGAACGATAATAACTGGTCCCCGCATAGCCTCTCCGCAATGAATGAGAGGTTCATTGACAAGTGTCAAAAATTGGGTAGTCCCTGCAGCCAGAGCGATGTCATTATCTTGCTCAATTGCCGCGAGGACGTGTTTGGCAATCGAGGCATCAAATGAAGCGAGCGTGCGAATGACGGAACTGGGCTCACTCTTCCCTCTTTGAAAGAAAAGGTGGGCACCAAGGCAAGATATAGCACGGAAGCGATCCGCGACCGTCATGCTAACTGTGCTCTTGCCAGAACCTGCAACGCCATGCAACCAGAAGACGTTCTGATCCGAGCCTGATGACGCCCACTCCACGATCTCATTTTATATCCCTGCGTGCGTTCCGCGAAAAAGGCACTGTAGCCGGTCAAATACGTTCATCTCGTCCGGATTGAGTCGGCTTTTCAGAATTAGTCGACCCAATTCAGCGGAACTCGTAAATTGTATAGATACTATGCGTTGGCTTTAGAAGAGATTCGAGAAGAGATGAGAGCAATGTAAACAATGTATCTCGGACAATTGTGCCCCTTTTCATTTCGGAGGTGCGGTTCACTATTGCGTACGTCAACATAGTGTAGTAATGAAACAAGAGTAAAATGCGAACCTGTCAAGATCGAGTAGGTGGAGGCCATGAAGGGGGTGGCACGGCTACTAGGTACAACTCTATCGATAGTTCTCCGATTGTAAGCAAGGTTTGCGATTGATCATAGGTGGATATAAACGGAGCGTTAATTTTGACCACAAATCCTTTGCACGTCTGATGTTCGAATCCTTTCTGTAATGGATGCATAGAACGGAACACTGATGGACACCCATTCAGCAGCAGAATGACACTCGGAATCGGATAGAGGTTCTGTTAGAGGAGACAGTATTTCAATATAAAGTCAATTGTTGTTGGTAAGAGAGTACGAATCAAACTTTAGGGGAAGAAGTGAAACAGGAACTGAAGTTACTGAACGTTCAGAAAAAGTGATTGGACACCCATTTTTGGAAAGGATTTTCATTGCCTTATACAGTAAATACTGCTGACCAGACTATTGTCTTGTACATCTTGAACTTATAAAGTAGAAAAAATTTCTCTACTACAGTAATTTAAGTGTTTCCTAACAGTTTGGCTTATCAAGAAATAATTAAATTATTAGGGTGAGTGATGGTACAAGACAAAGACTTTGATCAATGCATGCTGATCCTTCCAAAAAAGGTCAAACACCTTTTAGAAGATGTCAGCCAAACTGTGTCAACACAGTTGGTACAAAAGAGAAAACCAGTTTAAAAAAAAATAAAGCCTAGATAGACACAGGCCACAGTTAACAGTGTGTGTACAATAATGTTAAGGGACGTTCATGCACTTGAGGTGCAGAATTTCTCATGCAGAAACAGCAACTTCTTTGCCAGACTACCTGTCATTCAAGTTGTAGGAACATGACGACTCTAAGCAATCTTTGAAATGCTTGCTACACGAATCCTTCCCTGTGTTTGTCCCGAATGGTTACATTGCTACTGCTGCCATAGTGGATTGAATTCAAGAACAATGAGGAGGAAATTGCAGTGAATCTCTTTCAATTTCCAAACAAGGCAATTTATTCTCATCCGCGTTGGGAGTTGAGAAGCAAAATGGGCGTGCCACTGTGTACAACGGCACAGGTCATCGACATCGAACAGCCAAACAGCCATTGTCACCTCTTCTTCCTCTACCTCCACCTCACATTGTCTGGCATTACCGCAACTCCCCAAAAATCATGAATCGACCAGGTAATATTCCGCCTTGATTGCGTCACTTCTCAGCAGGGTGTCTATTGACTGACTGAATTCATCACAGGTCAACCTCCGCAACGTCCTCCGAATCTGGGACCGACGCAGGGCCTCGGCGCTCCCTTCCGCGGGCCATTTCCCCCAGCCTCCGCCTTCGGGATACCTTCAAGAAATCCTCTACAGCAGCAAGCGTTTCCGGGGATGCCCAGTGCTGCTGCATACCGGACAGGGCAAAACACTGTGTTACCGTCACCTGGTTTTCTGCAACAGCGCGGGCAAGCGGCTTTCCCGTTTGGCAGTGTGATCCAGCAGCCTCAGTCTGCGCAACAGCAACAGCAACATCCGCAGGCGCATCAACAGACTCAGGCGACGTCCGTGCTTGGCCAGCAGCTTCAACAGCAGCAGCAACAGGCCGCATCATCCGCCGGAGGGCCTCCACCGCACTTAACGACGCCGAGTGTTGCGACTGGGCAAGCAAATCAGTCAGTGAATGATGGTGCACTAGATCCGAATGACTTTCCTGCGCTCGGGTCGGGGTCGGCGACGTTAAATGCTTCGACAAACAGTCCGGCAACTACCTTAGCTTCGAGTTATGCGAGTCAGGCGGGGACGGGTATTGCACCTGGGAGTGGGACGAATGGGCAGAGCGGTGCGGGAGGGAATTCGCAAACACGGGAATTCACTCCGGACGATTTTCCGGCTCTCGGAGGGCAGCCTACTTCAACAGCTCAATCATCGCAAAATCAGCAGTCCTCACAAGATACAAGTCATCCACCCGGATTAAATGGTTTCGAGCCACGTCAGACCATGCCTCCGGGGCTTCTTAATCTCAGCGGGACACAGCGCAATCTTGCATCGGAAGCGGATAAACGGACGAATGCAAAGGTGAACACGTGGAATGGGACAAATACGACTTCTTTGGCTCAGCAAAACGGGTCATTACAAGCTAGCCAGCAATTAGTAGCTCCGCCAGGTGTTCCTCCACCGTTTCAACAGCAATCGCAACAGGCATCATTCGGCGCTAATGATGGACCAATTGGATTGAGTGCACCGACAACAGCGGCTTCTGGAGCACCTCAGACGCCCGCACAACAGATCCTCATGTCTCCTGCTGACCGTTGGGGGTTATTAGGGCTGCTGAATGCCATCAAAAACTTGGATGGAGATCAAACGTTGTTGTCTATGGGTACGGACTTGGGGACGATGGGGTTGGATATGCAAAACCAAGAGTAAGTTCAATTTGTTTTACATTATGATATCGTGACTGATGGCGATTTAGGTCATTATTTTCAACCTTCATTACTCCGTGGTCAGACTCATCAGCTGCACATTCTATTGAACCCGAATTCCGTACTCCTGAATGCTATCGCGTGAATGCACCTCCACCAGGACCGGCCAAAGCACAAGCATTTAGCGAAGAGACGTTGTTCTATATGTTTTATGCACATCCTCGGGACGCATTACAGGAAGTTGCTGCTCAGGAATTGTAAGTCGGCATTTGTCTCCGTTTTTCTAGCTTTTGTTGACAACTATCTACCATCTTAGACATGCGAGGAATTGGCGCTTTAGCAAAGAACACCGGCTATGGTTGACAAAAGAGACCAATCGCCCTCGACAGTCGAAAACAATCGAGAACGGTGCGGGCGAGCAGGGTATCTTCACATATTGGGATCCGGATATGTGGGAGAAGAACTTGAAAGAGTTTACTGTCATGTATGCGGACCTGGAGAATAAAGATACACCGGCGTTCGCGGGGCCAACGTTGCAGCCGACTGCACAGGGTCAGCAGCTCCAAGCAGGTGAGTTCCCGGTTCAGAGGCCCGTCTAAAATAGCCGTCTAAACAGCAATGTTTTTTAGGTGTAGTTCGAGCGAATTTTCCGGGGCTTAGTATGACGGCTGCAGCGATGTAAATAGCTCACTGAGTACCGTGCTCGTCGGCGATCAACTCCGTGTCTGTAACTCACAGTACTCGCCTGACATCGCCTTACCTTACACCCTCATATCACATTAACGATTTCCTCTTTCCTTCTCTTCCCTCTCCTTTTAGTCACTTGCTGTCGCATCTTCATATCCTCATATCCTGTTTCCACGTTCTCTTTTTTTTCTTACTTTTATGTTCTTTTTCATGGTCGTTTTTTTTCCAACTCTTGTTACGCTCGACTAAATGTTTGTTTGTTTTTTTATTATTGCGGTTTAAGCATGTCCTTGTACGTTTATTGAACGATTGATCATACCTGTGTCATAACTACCGTTTCGCAGTTACGATATCTTCAGTCTGATGTGCATTTTGCGTGGCTATAATCCCGAGGTTATGCATCCCCATTAGGATGATTCTATATATTGTTGTGCTGAAGTGCACAACGTGACTCAAGCGCGTAAACAAGCCATAACGCGTTTATTGCACGTGATCGTACAGTGGCTTCTGCGCCCTGCACTTCTTGCGTTCTATTTAAACTCGTACTTCGACTTTATCGACGACGTAAACCTCAAGCTGAATGTCTGTTCATAAGCTCAATTCGTTTTGCTAATGTGATTCAAGTCTTATATATGCTTCGCTGAGTACACATCTTCTTGGGCAACACCATCGCATCCAGATGTCTCGTGCGCCGCCGTTTGGTCAGCCTTCGCAGCTCGCCATAAGTGGACCGATGTCGTATGCTCCGCATATGCATGGTTCTTTCCCTATTCAACAACAATTCATCGACCCAAACTTAAGCATGTCCTCAGCCTCAACTTCCAACTCAATATCCTTCGACACTCACACCCACCAACAACTCCAAACCAAACTCGAAAAAAAACTCGGACCGGAATACATCTCCACCCGTCCAGGGCCCGCAGGTGGACCCAAACTCACATACGCAGAAGGTTGGAAGATCATCAACCTCGCGAACGAGGTGTTCGGATTTAACGGCTGGTCTTCGAGTATCGTTAACCTTAATACGGATTTCATGGATTATAATGAGGAGACGAGGAGGTGGAGTGTGGGTGTTTCGGCTGTTATTAAGGTTACGCTTAGGGATGGAGTGTTTCATGAGGATGTAGGGTATGGGATGTTGGAGAATTCGAGGAGTAAAGGGGCTGCGCTTGATAAGGTGTGTGTCTGTGCTTTCCGTATTTTGATGATCCCCTTTTTGGTGTTCTCAAGTGGCTGATTTATTGTGGGATAGTGCAAGAAAGAAGCGGTTACGGACGGTGTCAAGCGAGCTTTACGAAACTTTGGGAACTTGCTCGGCAACTGCTTGTATGATAAACAGTATGCGAAGGAGATCGTTAAAATGGCTGTTCCGCCTGTAAGTATTTGTTCTTCGTATTTATATACTCTTTAGTAATAGATATGCTAATATTATACTTGCGGTGCTGTTATACAGACAAAATTTGATAAAAGTGCATTACACCGACGACCGGAATTTCAAGAAGGCAACTCGAGTACGAATGCGATGAACGCTCCTAATAACGCCCCCACTTCAAACGCAAAGATGACAGCCCCCTCTTCTGGTAACGTGGACTCTTCCGGATCTAAGCCGACAGGGAACATAGTCATCCCTAAAGCTATTGGCGTCAACAATCCTAATTCCCATTCGCATGCAAACACGTCTTTTAGCAGTGGTAGTAGACCAGGGAGCGGTGGTGTTCCTGCGCATGTACACCCCGTTGCGACGAGTACTCCTGTACGGAACGGGCCTCTGCAGAATGCTACGCGAGCAGGTCAACCGGTGAACGTTCCATCCAACCAACGTGGAGTTGCTAACGCCAGTACCACTCGAGATCCGAATGCCAGCGCCACTAATGCGAATTCGTCGATTTCGAGAACGCATCAGCCACAGCAAGCTAACAGGCCTCCTCAGGCTCAGCCACCTCACCAAGTTCCTCAAAGTATTCACCAACCAAATTACGTCAGACAAGGCCAAGGTCAAGAAAGAGGACAAAACGCCACGAACGCTCAGCACCGGCAACAAGCCCAAGCTCTTCAAGACCTCGAACAATCAGAGACGTTCTCATTTGACTGGGACGACGAGGAAGTCCTCGCTGCGTTGGAGATGGCCGAATTGGACGAGGGAGAAGGTGAGGGAGAGGGAAAGGTGTATAATGAGTTGATGGCAGATATTGGGAGGCCAATTGATGACGGTGAGGATGGTGAATGTGGAGAGGTGGATGGAATGACGATGATGTCGAGTTCGGATCAGAGGACGCTTGTTGAGGGTGTATCGAGGAGTGTTTTGCAGGAATCCAGTCGCGAGAATATCGCTAGGCCTACAGGAAAATCAGCAGGTGCTGCAATGCAGCACGTTCCAACCGTCCAAACAAATTCGACAACTCCTATCATCAAGCATGGCGTTATGCAGCCTCGCGACCATCCATCTTCGAACAAGCCCACGAACACACACTCGAACCAGAAATCAAATCCAAATGGTGTTAAATCAAGTATTAGCGAGAACACTGCCGCTCCAAATAACACCTCTTCAACTTCGATTTCTTCAAAGACGATTGGAGTCGGGAATGGGAAACCGAGGACGTCTAGTATGGGTGGGTTTAACTTCCCTCCTGGAATGGTAAGTAGTATAATTCACATTTCTTGTCATGTCATTAACAATATCAATTATTAGGGCACGACGCTGCAGGCAACGGGGACGAAGAGATCTGCTGAAACAATGAAGTAAGCTATTCACTTAAGACTCTTTCAATTCCGCTATTCTACCGAAAACATACAATTAATACTAATACTAACAATAAATCATTGCTATAGGGATACAACTCCGCTAGGGACAGGAGGAAGATCAGGAACGGGACTAGGGGTCTCGTACGCAGCTGCCCAAGCGCGTTCTACGAGACAGCCATTCGGTATATTAGACGTTTCGGATGAAGGAAATGTAAAGCGTGTTCGTCGATAGTTACGTGGGTTGCAAGAATTTCTTTTCTTTTCTTTTTTCCTTTGTTTCCTTGTTCTCGTTCTTTTTCCTTTTTTCTTTTGTCACCTTTCTCGACACAAGCACGTATACAACCATGTCCACACAAGTTCTGTTCTCGTATCAATACCCTGCATCACAACACGACTGTACAGAATGAACTACCATGACAAGAAATGCTTATTGATTTCACCCATTGGTCCTCATTCATTTTACAGTTGTGGTATACCTCATGTCACAAATGACCACTTTGTAGCTAAACACAAGCCAAGCATTCATATACACTAGACCTTTTCAACTCAACTCACCTAGTAGTATCAGTAATGTATATATAAAGAGCACCCGCCTCTAGCTGTTTTAGCCCTATTCTTCACAATCTTACAACTACAGTACAGAACAGGCTAAACCTCTCTGTAATGAAATAGACCCTAGTACTAATAAGGATATATTTGCATTTAGTTTTAAAGGAGAACCCTTGGGAGAGAATATCCACCAACTCATGAATAAAAGGTGAATATATGCACTTCCTATTCCAATTTGTTCATATTACAAAGTATAACACTAATTTATATAATCAAATATTATAAGACAATATTATTTTTAGCACAACTCAATCCTTGCAGCTCTGTAATGGTTGTTATAGTACTGTTACAGTAATTACAGCAAGTCAGGAGCCTTGTGTAAAAGTTACTATTCTCATACAAACAGGCTGTAAGGATCTTACAGGCAAGACTAGGAATACCTAGTTATGTTGACGTTGACTATAGGAAAAGAAATCATGATTATTGGGGTGGCTCAAAACATTCCTGCCATCGTTAGCCAATAGCAGCATTCGTAAAATTTAGCCTAGTCTAGAATGGACAACTGAAAACTGCAGTATTCTGCAGGCGCCAAAGTGTAGGACGGAGATCAGGCGGAATCCACAGGACCAACTCTCCTTCGCGCCCCCGTATCCATCCATCTTTAGCCAATGTCCAGACAAAGGGCCGTAACGACGAAATGCCGTTACTTACCGTAAAGGTGTTAGGTACTCGATACTGCCCATTCCACTGCTTGTGCGCTTCAATATTGGCAGATCCCATAAAGTTTAAAAAATCACTCTCATTTGACCTATGATTTATGATTATACTTTTCGCAACTTAATACGATGCAATACAGGTCAGGCTTTTTGCAACGCAGATTACTGTGACATACATACGAAATAAAAATAGAAGCAAAGCGGAAGAGGAGGAATAGAGAAGGAAAGTAGAGTGAAACGAGCGTCCGGAAATCGTTCGAGTCATTAGTCCTTGAGATTGAAAGAATAAAGAGAAAGGGAACGGAAATGGGCAACAGTTAAGGGAGGTAGACGACAAAGTCCCTAGTAGTCGACTAAAGGTCCAAAGTACGAATGAAGCGGGGGTGAAGAATGAGATGAAAAGAAAGGACACTGTATGCACCGATATACCACATGGACGGGTGTATGGGTACATATGAAAGGCGTTTTCATATTTTGGGTGAGTAGAAAATTGACTCGAAATGCTTGTCTGGATTAAATTTATTGTAAAGTGGACATAGATTATCCCAGTCACCTATATACAAGGTCAACCAAACCGAATCTAGTAACCAACGGGAAAGATAATAGACGTACTATTGTCAGGTTCGTTTTGAGCTACATCCTCCGCGGCCTCGGCGAGGACAACAGCAAGTCCTCCCGCAAGGTGCCAATCAATATGACAATGCAAGAACCATGGCCCAGGATTATCAGTGACGAAGCGAAGCGTCACTTCGTCGCCCACGTTACCAACACTTACCACATCTCGTCGAACGGGGTTGACATAATTGTACTCAGTCGAGTTCGCAACACGTATGACGTCGAATGTGTGTCCATGGAGATGGAAAGGGTGGAGCCCTCCTCCGGGGATGATGATTTCGATCACTTTGTTCCGTGGTAGACCGTATATGGAGCCTTTCGGAAGTAAGCTGTTTGCGTTCGTATTGCCACTTAGTATCTGCAACAAGACTGGAACACTTGGTGCTGGGTATATACATTTCCGATTGGTCATCCTGCGTCGAAGGCCCAAGAGAACTCGACTTACGCATGAACGTTGCATTGTTAATCACAAATCCTCCCTGTGAGCCGAATCCGTGTTGTAGAGTCAGGACAACGTCCGCGCCGCCAGGATACGGCTCGCCAGGCTTTGCACATTCGTCAGCACTACCAAAAATAACAAGACATTAAGAGAAATCTCACCGCTCCAGGATTGATGAGAGGCTGATGTACAAATAAGTTTGAACAACATCATGGGAAAGAATAGCATACACGTACGTGCAAATCCGCTTCGTTCAGGATATCCAGCTCCCTTGACTTTTTATTTGTGCGTTCTTCGCAAGGCTCAGCATTTGGAGCTCCATGATATCGTAGAATGGCCGAGTTCACTCCGTTAGCGGTGCTGTTATTTCCCACTGACGGAATCGCGCGGATCCCTTAATTTGCCTTTATGAGCATCATTGAGTAAAGACTCGAACAAGGACTCACAATAGTTGTCGATAGGCTTATCCATTGTAACGACGACTGAATATCGTTGTGCTGCTTAATGTTAATATATGCATGCGTGACCATTCAACTTTGAGCCTTACACGAATAAATTTCAAGCGAGTCGACGGTGTGAGGTCTTGTCTCAATGCCGTCAGCCTCGATTACCGTCAGCTTGTGACCATCGATAGAGAATGTGAAACTATCCACGTAGTGATTTCAATATTCTGTCACATTACGGTAACCGCTTGAACTTACGAAGGAAAGCAGCCCGTGTTAATTAGCCTGAACCTATAACGCTTGCCTCTCTTCGCATGGATTACTGCAAGTTCGCTAGACGGATCATCGCTCCGCCGACCCAGTCCGTTGATCAAGGTTGAGTTTGGTGTACTATCGGATCGCTCAATTAGCTGAACATCTTAGATGCATTTGTCGAGGCTCACGGTGCTATAGACGTCCAGTTAGGGAAAATAGAGGGCGAGGGTCTGTGATACCAATCTTGAAGAGTTATCACAGTTGACTCTGAAAGGGAAAATTATTAATATTTGGAAGCGAAAGTCGTCAAGTTGAACGAACCATCGTCAACATCATATAAGTGTTTGAGTGGATCGTGAGGATCTAACACGGGTGCAGTCAGCTTCATCTGAAAGTAACACAGCGTTTAATCATGCACACCGTAAATAACGAGTGGACCAGAAAGACCGTCGCAGTATTGATTGGAGAAGTGGGAATGATACCTTATATCTCGAAATGAGAGTCTGAGGAGTAGATAAGCAGGGGATCTTCGTACCAAAATGTCCCTGCTTGATCTGGAACGCTGAAATTGTACCTTAACACAAACGTTAGAAGAACATACGAATACAAAGGAAGAAACTAGCACAGACAGGAAACTATTTCCGGGTATGATAGGGCATTGATTGACCTCGGCAGCACCATCCATCTAAGGCAAGGAACGACTCAGAACAACGGCAGACGACTTCCGGTACGTGACTAGAACTCACCAAATTTGAATGCCTCTGATAGATTCCGTGCCAGTGCTGTGGACAGGACGGACACGGCTCATTAAGAATCAATTTCGAGAATTGATGTTAATTCATACAATTGATGTGCCTCTCATCATACTTTTGTCGGTCAGACTGTCAGTGACATTAACCTAAGGGGACACCAAGCTTGGTAAGTCCAACATTCAAAACGTCTAGAATACGGCTCGCGTACAAGAAACCGGTCGCCTTTGGTTCCGCTAATAAGTGGGCCTGGTACAGTACCGTTTGCTGAAACGACGCTGTTTACGCAGTCAATGTACAGACGTGGCAATGACATGTACTATTAACTTACGAGCGCGTAAAGCCATCTGGAACGACTTCAGCATTCTGGATGTTCAGATGATAATTTGCTTCCTTCGTCGCTGAGCCATGCCCTCCAGAGTAGCACGCAGCCACAGCAGCGAGAGCAATCGTAGCATAGACTGACCTTGGCATTGTGCCGCCACTTCAAGTAGGGAATAGTTAGAGAGGGCTAGCATTCAAGGTGCCAGCTGGATATGGTTTATAAACCCGCTAGGGATTATTTACCAGCGTTCATTCTGTTCAGGCAGTGCATGTCGATCTTCCTCGGTCGTACGAATCGCCACATCAGTGTACATACAAGTATAAGTGTACCAGTCTGCATCTCCGTCGAGCAACGACCGAAGAGACGTAGATCGGCACCGTGCCATGAGCGGCTCTCCGCGTGCAGTGTGGGTGCCTAATGCCAACAGAATCCTGAATTTGATAGAAAAAGTCGACGTGTGGCGCCGGCAAAATGGCTCATTTAAGGTAAGCAGTGGCATTCGTTATCGGAGGAAGATCCGCGAGACTGATTGCGTGCCAAAAATACGTTACAGGAATTCGAGGGTCGACAGTCAAACCTCCCGAAAGCATCGCCTTACGGCACCGCAACATTGGTATTGGGCGGTGAACGTGTGTAACACTCGGATATCCTTCTGGAATCGGTTCCGCCCTTGGCGCTGCCGAGGCGGCCACCAAGGCGACTCGTGTGTAAAACTGATACATGTAAGGGTGTTTTCTCCATGCGCTTCAGGATATTCTTTACTAGGCACGGTAGGCAGTGCAGTTTGTACAGAACCTGGATTGACAGTGCAAGGATGGTAGTATGAATGTGCCTATGAAACAAACATGGAAACAAATAATCTTGAGACTAAAGTCTACTTGAATGGCACGTGACTACAGAGATCTGCGACTTTTTATTAAATTTTAATCATACTTTGACATTCTATTGAAATGTAGTACACGTTTTGGTTCAAAGTAGATCCCCAGTACTTTGCTTCTAATCAATCCTCATACACGCTCCGCATTTTGTACATCGAAGTCGACACTTCAATGTTATCGACCTTATTAATCGGATCAACTTTATACATTTTGATGTTTGAGTCGACTGTTTCGTTCGCCTTCGATGAAGACTTCGTATCCGTAGGTGCCTTGAGCGCAATCCCAGCAGCACGACCATCAGGAATCCGAATAAACTCAAGTCGCTTCCCCTTCGAATTTGCATCGTCAACAATCTTATCGAGGATGAAGTAACCTTTCCGCTCGAATTGAATGGTATCACGTTCTTTCAGCGTAAGGACATTCGCATCCGCGAGCGCCTCGACTTTGAACTCCGTCTGTGGCGTTGCAACCGACTCTACAGTATCATCTTTCTCGAGTTTGCGTTTCGTTACCATGTAGTCGTAGTCGAGTAGGGTGACGGGTACAAGCGGCAGTGATGGAGCTTGCACAGCGAGCCAGGTGATCTTCTTCTCGGTTGCTTTGAAGTCTCCAGCGAGGTGTAGGTCCAGATCGAGGTGCGTAACATCCCCCGACGCGGATCGCGAAATGTTTCGCACAATCGCGTTGCCCCAGTCCATAAGGGTGATCTATCATTGTACCATCAACACTAGCAGAGAAATCTCAACTGGAAAGTCATACCTCCTCGTTGTCTGCGAACGTCTTTGCATCCTCCTGCTCGACGAGAATTGTAGATGAATATACTGTTGTCTTCAAACCAACAGAAGCGTTCTTCCTATGTCTCGGCACTTCCTTCGTCTCTGGGTCCGCTGGCCCTCCCTTTACGGTAGCTTGAACCCTAGGCAATAGTTAGAACATGAGCCCAACGAGTATTTTGACCAACCGGCGTACATCTTATCTGTTCCAATCGCGCAGAACCTCGGCGCAATAGGATCAATGATCTTCTTATTAATAGTCCAAATCGAATCCCACTCAAGGAGAACTTGGTTCTGCGAAGGTCCTTGCGAAAGCATGAATTGTCGAAGCGCCTCAGTAGTCATCCCACGTCTACGCATCCCGCGGAAAGTCGGGAACCGCGGGTCATCCCATCCACGCGCAAGTCCAAGCGCAAGACAGTCACGTAGCTTGCGTTTCGATAGGAATGTGAAGACAAAGTTGATTCGACTGAAATCCCAGATGTACACTTTTCGTAACGTGAGCGCGTCAAGCATCCATTGGTATTGAGGATTACGATCACGGTATTCGTTCGTCCTCAACGCGTGAGTAACACCTTCATACGCATCAATTACAGGACATGCGAAGTCATAGGTAGGGTAAATCTTCCACTTATCCCTATGTGTGTATTAGTTCTTTCGTTGGTTGAGAATGAACGGAAACCATACCCGGTTCGGTGGTGAGGTAAAGGGTTGCAACGGTATATTACAGGATCGCGCATAGCTTTGTTGGGATCAGTGAAACTGATCTTCGCCCGCAAACAGCTCTTGAGGCCCTCCTCGGTGCCTTCTTTCATCCAGTCAAATCGCTTCAAGTTTTCCTCGACCGACAAATCGCGACGTTTAGACGCAATACCATCCATACGTTCTTTTTGCATCTAATGCAAATATAAACATTGGAATGTGGACAAAAGCATTGTAAACTTACTGTTTCACGATCCGTATCATCGACATACGCATTGCCATCTTTGATCATCTGGAGAGCATAATCATATAACTGGTCAAAGTAATCCGACGTATGCGATATCTTGTCTCCACGTATATTCAAAACAGCCAAGTCCTCCAAGATAGCATCCTCATACTCTTCTTTCTCCTTCTCAGGATTCGTATCATCGAACCTGACGATCAGCTTTCCTTTATACATCTCAGCGAAGTACTGATTCAGAATCGCAGCTTTCAGATGCCCAATATGCAGATAACCACTCGGCTCGGGGGGGAACCGAGTCACGACCTTGCCCATCTCTGCATGCTCGAGACCTAATGCGAAGGATGAGGCTGCTTTGCCTTTATCTGCTTTAGCCTGCATAATACCACTACTCAGCATGCAAACATCGTATTGACGAATCAACGTGAACACGTACGCCACGCGACTTAGCTTCCGCCAACTCGTTAAGAGCAATCTGCGTGGTAGGCAGTGATTCAATGTACGTGAACCATCTAAGTAAATGAGGATGTTTTCCGCCCTTCATAATACCCAAAGGTTTCAACGATCCTAATTTCATCGTTAGTCATGCTTCAACTCAAAACATTTTATTCAACTCACCCTTGATCGCTCCCCACACTAACCAATCAGCTACTGTAATCTCATGCCCATCCAAGAAGGTACGCAACGCGAGACGATCATCTAACGAATCGAGCGCAGAAACGAGCGCAGTAAAGTCCTTCGTAGTAGGCAGTGACTTCGCCAACGCGAAGAGAGCTTCACCCTTCACAAAGAAACATCAACTTACATCCTCTTACAAAGTGCAACGCAGACCTACCTGAGTGCTATTACTCTCCGCATGTGCCTCCTTAGCCAACGTCCTCACAATCGATTCACCATCCTCAATTTGCGTCCCGTCAGATATTCGCGTTAGACAGCATCCAGACCCATCACGGTCATAATCAATAGTAACATTGACCGTATCCTTAAGATACGAAGAAATCGCAAGTGCAGCAAACGGGAAGGGGTCGCTCGTTGGTGACACCGAAAGTTTGTACATGGTGACTCGAAATGAGGCGCATACATCTTGCCGATCCTACAAATGCTGTAACACAAGTATTGATTATGTAATTTAACTTATGTTTGTTTGAACCTCGGTCATCGATCAATGATTTACTTCTCTGCTAGCGAAATCCAGTCTATTACCCAAGTCCTACATCCCCCATACATAATGGATATAAATATGACGAAATACCAATACACTATTTAATATGAACCTTCTGTGTATATCTTTTCCAGGTTTTCCGCAATTCGCGTCTCTCCAAAAGCCCTTACCATTGCAAGCCTCGCCCGTCTCGTCTCTCCGTCCAGCTGGTAACATGCCGGAGGCAGCTTGAGATCCGTGCCACGAACTTGCACATATTTCACCACATCCTTCACCACATCACTCTTCGCCTGGTTAAAAACCGCAACAAGCAAGCTCCGCGCCCGTTTCTCCCGTACACCATCCGTCTCTCCCGTCTCCGTCAAGTCCGACCAAATATTACACGCAACATGATGAACAGCAAGCAACCTCACGAATCCCTCAAGAGACCACTTCACGAGTCCTCGGAGGTACCACCCAATCATTTCCGCATCCGTCTCAACCGGCCAAAAGAACTCCTTCAAATCCAAAGTCGGTACTTCGTCAATCGGGGTACGGACTGTACGTAACGTATGCCCGAAATCTCCCCAGAGGAGTTTCCGATAGTCTAATGCATAGGCCATGGAGGTGGGAGGGAGAAGCAACCGTGCAAAGGTTCTATGCGAAAACGAGATAGCGTCATATAACCCCACGAAGTCGGTGTAAAATTGGTAGAATGGAGTTCCAGTCCCAAGGAATTGCTTTGCGACGGTTTCTAGATTTAGGGATTCTATTTTCAGTGCCGATTGTGATCCCCTAAGCGTGAATGGCTCCAGAAGCGCATCCATGAGACGACCAACAGTCGAATCTCGGAAGACCTCTTCATTTGAGTCGTTCTGCTGTTGGTTATGCTCGAGCATAAAGACCTTCATACAATTGAACACGACGTGCTCCACGGTCGGTGCGAAATTTCGCAATTCGCTCCTGCCGAGAATCCTTTGCACATGGAGTAATAGCGAGAGTGAAGCCTGTGTGAGGTCCGTTTCTGACGCGTTCCACGACTCCGGGACAGAATCCGGGTTCGTCAATACTGGTGACGTGCCTGACCTCAAAATATGGTCAAGAGCGACACAAGACCAATCCGGTTTTAGAGGCAGCCCAGAGAGAGCCTGCTTTGCTGATGAACTGAATGTACAATTGGCAGGCATACACTGAGTCCTGCTCCTCTGAATCGATTCAGGCGTTGGCGTCAGTGGCGACAAATAAAATTCGTCATCTGGGCGAATCATGTTCTTGAAAAACGGTAGAAGAAATCGCAACTTCTCAGCGCATTCAATGTCTCTGCATTCCTTCTCGACGACTTCTTCGATCAGTCGAGTAGCGCTCTCCTCGTCACCTGGAAGTAGAGCTCTCAAAGAGGCAAACGCCAGTGGCTGCCAGATCTCCCTACTTGAGAAGAAGTGCGATAGCTTGACAAACGATGCTAGAAACCCAGATGATGAACGCAGATAGGAAATCTGTACCCTGAAGGACAACTCATCCCGTGACTTGTTGGCACTCCAAATTGATCTCCAGAAATCGCGAGACAGAATCACATCGGTAACTGATGAAAGGGAGGGAAAAACATCAGCTAGCCAGGTGGGAGGTTCGGATCTACCACCAGAGTCCGAATCATGTCTATGCAGACACGCTAAACAAAGTCTAACGAGGTCTGTGAAGACTTGACTGAGTTCGGCGACCCGCACAAGGGCGGATTTTCGTTGGATAAGCGAGGACTCTTCCGAGAACGCCGCAGGCAACTCCTGCCTCAGCTGATCTCTCGATTTCTCGACCAGCGCCTTCTCGATTCCGCTTGACCAAGTCTTTTCTATCATGGTATTCATGGTAGCACGCTCGTCTTGGCCTGCTCTAGCGCTATTGACACGGCAACCTTCCAACCACGAAGCCAAAGTACCACACAAAGCTCCCCATATGCGAACGTCAGGCTCTGACGGCCCAGACAACAAGTTATCCCTGAATTCCAACAGATCATTTCCCCAAGCCCAACCAACGACCTGACTCCACAGCAAATCGTGCGTCGGAGTCGTCCGATGCGGATCACGTGCACAAACCATCCACACCGACAGAAGACGTAGCCAGGAAACCCTCAACTCGATCGAAACGTCGTTAGAGGTATTCAAGACGTGTGATGATAGGTGGTTGAAATGCTCTGCTGCTGTAGTGGCAACACCAGAATATATACCATACATCCCAAGAGCTGCGTACAACTTGAGGGTCCCGTACAGAAGGGCGTCTGAGAGCGTTCGAGGGAAGGGCGAGGAAGTGGGCGTAATTGCAGTGATAAAGCGAAGCAGGGCGTCAGCCGGTCCTACTAAGGCGCCGGCGTTCGTACGGGATGAAAGTGCAAGTATACGAAGTAAATCAAGCGCTAGGGGATCTGGGACACGTCCGTCTTCGGGAGGAGGAATCGGCGTTAGTAGAAAGGTGTCAAGAATAGTTCCAATAAGTCGAGGAGTCTCGGTGATGGCAGTAGCAATCTCAGCGGAGTGCCGTGCGAAGCGAAGAATGATGGATAACACCTGCGACATAGATTCTAGCGGGAGGCTTCGTGAGTCGAGTAGTGCGGCGATTTGAGGCAGCAAGACCGAAAACGGAATTGACGAAATTGGATCAGCTGAAGAAAGTGAGTCTTCGGGACGTTTTTCTTCGTCAGAATTGCCGGATTTCGTAGCTTGGGGACGAAGCTCGACACCCTCCAAATCTGCTAAGTCATCTTCATCCCAATAAACAACGCAAGCCCAGACAAGGTCAACTGCCTGCATGCCCACTGTACCCTTCTCTAGCAAAGCCGCAAGACCGACGACCAAAGCCTGAGCTCGCACAATATTGCGATCTTTGAATTCAAAAGCCTCCTTCTCTCTCCGAGCTAATCTTCGTATTAACTTTGATAATACACCTAGAACCGTCGCTCGCTGCGCCGGAACACTGGAACGGGCAAGTAAGAGCAGATCAGCTAGCGTGTATCCAGCCGCCGCGGAGCCACCATGGTGGTGCAAACCGAGGTGTGTAGGCAAGGTTTCTCGCTCTGATGGTGGAATGAGAGCTCCAGATAAGTCGAATCGTGGCTCGGAATCTAGCGCCGATTCAGTAGGTTTAATCCATTCTAAGGCAGGGTCTTCTTCTGGGTGATTTGGGAAGAAGCGTCGACGAATGTCTTCCGGTGTCCCTTCCTCTGGTTTGGGATCTAAAGATAGTTTGATGACATCGTTCTTGTCCGGTTGCTCCGTTGGCGGAGGTAATAGGGCGATTGGTCTACGAGGGGAAGTCGGCTCTGAGTGAAAGACGTGTACGTCTCTCGGGGTGACGTCCGCAAAACGCAGTTTCCGAGCGGCCCTCCCAGGTGATGAGCTACGTGATGACGGCGGCGTATTTGAAACCAAAATTCCACGTCGGGGCGACGCTAGCTCTGTGGAATAGGAAATGATTAGGCTGTGATTAAATGATTAATCGCCATTCACGTACTACTTGGAGGTGATGAATGCGTTGGTGTAGCTAGAATTACTTCAGGCTCTGGGCTGGACGATTTAATTTCACGTATTTCAATATCGTCGTGCTTATCTTCTGCCCGCGGTTTGTCCCTGACACCTTCCTCCTCGTGAACATCTAGATGAACAGAGAATAGAAACCACGACAGTAAGAGGAGGGATAGCAAGGCAAGCATCTAGATACGTGAAGCTAATGAACATACCAGGACCTGCCTCAAGTCTTCCGCGTGCTTTCCTTGCCTTCTGGAGCAGCTCAGTCACTCCGGGACCCAGCTGTTCGAGAATTTCTGCAGCGTGCCGCTCACGCTCTTCCTCTGTCATGGCATCAATCGCACGATCGTTATCTCGTCTCATCTGTTCTTTCCAGTTTTCTTCTGGAGAAAATTTTGAGCTTAGATCGAATGGGTGGCCTAACGAAGAGCCTTAACTCGAGTAAGTGGACAAAGAATCGAATAAGGGAAACTGTAAACGCACTAGGTGGCAATACATCCTGGTCTTCGGATTCTCGACTGGCTGATAGAAGGCTGCCACTTGTCTGGACTATTGGCACCTCTCTGTTCCTCCTGGTGTCAGATTCGAGTGCGCCATTGTTCCGCCCTGCCTCCCTGGCACGCGCAAACGCGCTTTTTGAGCGATGTTGAACAGGTGGGAAACCGAGGGGCGATGGCGCCGAAACAGGTTTAGGAGAAGGTTTCGAGCTCGAGGACCGTTCAACTATTGAACCGACAAGCGTTGGTAGTGGTTGTGGTTGTGGCATGAGGAATTGCTTTGTGCATTTTGTGTGAGCTTGAGGTCGGCGTATCTCGACAGGCAGTGAAAGCGCTTAAGTGACGTAAGCAGCATGCTTCATAAGCACGTTCTTGAGTAAGCGCCATCAGCGCATCAAAATTCAGAGCACAGCCATCGAGGAGACACAGCTTCGCGATGTCCAATTCGGACGCTCGGATTCTAAATTTCAGAATTCACGTGGTGTGGGGGAGCCAGGCCTCGTTTCGGAACTCTTCGGACTTGCGCCAATTCAGTCTTGGCTCCCTCCTCTCTCTCTCTCTCACCTCCACCATCACGTCGTCCCTCTCTCTCACCATTGAAACTCGTCTTTTCCTTTATCCACAACCTTGTCCCCTTTACCGTTCGACCGCACTGTTAAAGTGTCTATGCAGATAGAGTCCACTTCCAGTTTACACGTCCATACCTCTGTTTCTTTGCGTGGCGAGCACCCGCTGAATACATGTCCATCCAGGCCCCTTTTGTCCAGAATCGCAACAGCTCCCGATGGAGACAGCTCTGACGGCTCTGAGAGGCTGAATGCCTCATTCCCGAGCTTTGGCATGGCTGCTGAAGCGCTGGACGCAGAGGTCGAAGGCTACAGGTCGATTGAAGGCGCCTTCAAGTCTGCCTCAGCGCCCGAGAAGACCAGCGCATTTCCTCAGGAACCAGAAGATGCTCAGTCAGCAGCGCCTGACGAGGCCTTCATGTCTACATCCCCTGCTCATGCCTTTCTGTCTATGTTCTCACCTCCGCCTTCCACTTCGCGCCAACCTGTGGAAGAAACAGTCGTTGCTGGCTATACCCTTGTTCAGATAATAGGCGTGGGAGGCTTTTCAATTGTTAAGAAAGGCGTCTCTTCCAGCGGTGAAATTGTAGCTGTCAAACGAGTCAGGAGGGCGGATATAGAGCGACAGGATGATCCGGATGAGTGTCGTCGGCAACTTGACAATGAAATGGAGATTTGGCGCTCGTTGAATCACGAACATGTTCTTCCCCTCTTTGCGGTCGAGCGCACTGCTGAAGCAGACTACTTCATCACCTTGTTTTGTCCTGCTGGCTCCTTGTTCGATATCTTGAAGCGTGACGGCCGCCCGGCGTTAGCTCAAGACGACGCCGGAATGCTTTTCCGGCAAGTGGTCCGAGGGTTGCGTTATCTTCATGAGACAGCAAAGCTCGTGCACGGCGATATCAAACTGGAGAACATCCTTGTCGACGATGCAGGCACTTGCCGAATCACAGATTTTGGACTCTCAAGACGAATCTTAGATCCGTCGTCATCCCCTTCTGAGGCGGAATGTTATTGTCTTCACGACAGAGCTATGGACCAAATGGTCGACCGCCTGCGTAGATACACCACCATTTCACATGGTCCGTCGAGGCAATCTGCACACGGACGTTCACGAAGGCCCTCCCGTCATCGTAACTCCACGCCACTCGGGAATGGAAACGGCACGCCACCCATATTACCTTACCATCAGTTCAATCCGGGTTCGCTACCTTATGCTGCTCCCGAGATGCTGTCCCCACAGCTACCTCAATGCCCTGCTCATCCTAGGATTCCACCTGTGAATCCGGCACAAGATATGTGGGCGCTCGGTGTGCTGTTGTATGCGCTTCTCACTGGACATCTACCATTCAATGACAATTTTGAACCGCGATTACAAATGAAGATTTTGCATGGTGCGTCCTCGCTCATTCTTTTACTTGATACTTCTCATAACACCTGTTTATTTTTCAAGGAGCTTATGACATTCCTCTTGGCATTGGTCATGGCGCTGAAAGCGTGTTGCGCAGCTGTCTCGAGCAAGTTGTCTCGGATCGCTGGACAATCGACATGGTCGATGAAGTCGCTTGGGGAGTCGGATGGGGAAGTGCGGGTGATGTGTCAGCAAAGACGTCGACTCAAGCATCGAAGGATTGCTCGCGGAATGTCTCAAAACTTCGAGGATCGCGTTCGCGGTCCCGAATTCGCCCCTATCCTGAACATCTGCACGATAGTGCACTGCATAATCTGTATGGAAGTGACGGTTCCGTTTTCTCCTCGTCAGTCTCGCGGTCTCGTTCACGCGCTGCGCGGCCCCCCTCGACAGATAGGATATCTTCGGATCGATTCATACTCTCGTCACCTGTCAAGACTTCAGCTTCAACTGATAGCTCTTCCTTGTCAAGTGACTCGCACAGTTCTCCTGGGAACTTCTCACCACCTCCCTCTTTACTTGCTAGTCGTGGAAGGATTACCGCAGTTGTAGCAGAGCCTTATCGGCTGCGCTCAACATCTCATTCACACTCTCACTCACATTCAAGATCTCGGTCTACTCCAGAGAGCCCAGCTACTCCATCGGATCTTGGTTCTGAGCCTTCACCCTTCCATAATATCCTTATCAGCCGAGGACGCGCCGAAGGTCTCATGCCCCCTGTTCCTGAGAAAGAAGAAGAGGTACCTCGTGGACGTCGTCGTACGGCATTGCGGAGGGAAAACGGCTCCGACCATGGCTGAATTGCACATCGCGGAGGACGTGCTTAATGCAACGCTTTTGATTGGTTGATTTGCTTCTTGGTTAAGCAATACTAAGGAACTCTCAGGACACCATGCCCTCACGTGTAAACAGCTTCGAAGTGTTCTTAGCGGCCGTCGCCGCTATCATCTTGGGATTTCTGGGTCCTAATTCAGTAAAAAGAGACTGTAGGTACCTATCATGCAACTCCGTTCCACTGGTAACATATTTCATTTTTGTTTCTTTGTTGGTAATATTAATGTTTTGATTTATTTTCTGGACTCTTGAGAATTTACTCCCGACCATCTAACATTATTTTGCCCTGTTTCTCTTGTTTCCGAAATCTATTCTCTCTCAACTCCGTGTCATTTTTAGTTTGTTCCCCTCTTTTCCTTTCCCAGTTTCCTCGCAAAGTATCTCGCTTCATATCCATATCATATTATCATATGTTATTTTCCCACACAATCACGTACGCAACTCTTTGTACTCTCTCCACACTCTCAAGCAACGTTCTCTGTAGCTGTTACTTACCATTCTATGTTGCAATTTCTTCATGTGATCTATGCACAATATGTCCCACTAATTTATGAGAGCTGTATATATTTTGTTTTTCAATGATAGTACATAAGTAGTTTAATGTATATTTGAGCAATTGTAGGATAGTATTGTAATTGAGCAACTGAGTTCAACTGACTGAAAAGATGGTGCTTAGCAAATTGCTTGCTTAAGTAAGTATTAAGTGTCTTCTGTGATCGCGAGACAGATTCGTAGACTGATATCATTATGAAGTTAGCGACTCTAGAACCTCTGACCCTTGCTCACAATTTACTAACCTTGCTCTCATGCATCAACATGCCTTGTCGTACATTTATTTCGACTATGAAACGGAATCAGTACTTTTACTGCACTTTTCCATCTGACTTTAGGTGTCAATGGCAATGGGAACTGGGCGCCAATCACTCCACCATTAGTACAACGATGCAAAAGGAATCCGACATCAGCCCAAGCGCTTAATTGATATGCTAGACACGGTCGACACACGGACTTCTCAATGTCCATGGCCTCCATGTCAACAGACACCCATCTCTCTCTAACAATTCTGCATGTCTCTGAAGTGAAATGGAGCTCAATCCTTCGTAGCAAATTACCGAACCTTTACGTTCAGGTAGAGCTTGGTAATGAGAGCTGGAGAACGAAAACTATTAAGAAGAATTTGTCGCCTGAATGGAACGAACGTCTTTCATTCGAAAGGTAAGCAAGTTTGTCGCTTTAATCAGATGGTTCCTTTTATTACTGCGCACCACAGGCCGCCTGCATCTGAAGGAACAAGATTCAGCATTCAGATCAAACATGATTCGTCTCGTTGGGCGGACAAATATGTAGGTAAGGCTGATGTGGAGCTTGGTGACTTGTTAGATAGGTGTGCCGATGGCAAAGGTGCGTTGAACGGGTTGCTTTCAATATTCCCATGTATTTATTGGAATCCTAGAAACAGTGCTTCGCCTTAACATGCCTCATGGGTCAGAATCTACAGAAATTGCAGCTATCCTGCATTTACGTATAGAGGCTATCGATGCTCTGGCAAGTGTTAGCCATAATATCAGTTCTGCGGAGCAAGCGATCCAGCAGGGCGGAATTCCAAGCTCAGCGGTTGCTGCGGATGCGACAGCTGTTGGAGACCATGCTGTTGGATACTCTGACCTATATCGGAGTGTTGGGGAGCTTGTTTCCAAGTTGGACCTCTTTGTTAGGGTCGTCGATACATTATCCCAGGTAAGCTTCGTAGTCTGTGCATTGCGTTCATGCTCACTGAGCAGTATCAGGTCCACCCGTACGTCAACTTTGCATGGCGAGTGGTTTCTGCGTTGTACAAGGTGCGCTTATACAACTGTCGTTTGACATTTCTAACCATTGTCCTCAGAGCATCAGCCATCAGTTCGAAGTTGACAAAAAGAGTGTTGAACTTATGGGTGTCATGGAGGACGCCTTCAATTTCGTTCACGAAGCGGACTCGCTGCGAAGCAAGACCCAATATCTTGAGTCAGCCATAATCCAACTTTTGAAGCAGACCGATGAATGCTGCCTTTTCGTTCAGGAATATGCACGCCATGCATTCATAGGTATGCCCAGATGTCAATATGTTCCGCAAGTATAGGAATCTCACACTGCTCCAGGACGAATGCTCAAGATGGATGTGAACAGAAAAGTCGACGAATTCACGGAGTCCTTGCACTTACTCAAGCAATCGATTGACTCGGGTGTTATCATTCATACCGCCTTTGTCTCGTTGCACATGTCTTCAGAAATTAATACTATATGTGCGTGCTGCATCTCTACATCTGATGAGCGACATTAATGTGCGTGGCCAGTTCTGTCGGACCGACTACACCCAGAAAGGATGGACGCGTTTAACCGGCCGCAATGCCTTCCTGGAACACGAACAGAAATCATAAAGCAGGTTGTGGACTGGGCTTTATCAGACTCAAACCAGAATGTCTTCTGGCTACATGGTGCCGCGGGATCTGGCAAGAGCACTATCAGTACGACTATCGCGGAACATTTCCGTGGCATATCCCGTCTTGGTGCCCATCTGTTTTTTGAGCGCGGAAAGAGTGACCCTAGCGGCGCCGTTCGAACTCTGACATATAAGCTCGCCACGTTTGACTCAACCGTGGAAGAAAATGTCATTGCAGCCATTAAGCGGGACAACGATATTGCTCAGGCTACCGCGACGACCCAGTTTGAGAACCTTCTCCATAACCCACTTCGTCCAGAGACGCCATGCAGGGACAAGTTGTCATAGTCCTTGATGCGCTAGATGAGTGTGGAACCGAGAAATCGAGGCATAGCTTAATGCAGACATTTCGAAAAGGACTGCCATCGCTGCCGAAGAACTTCCGATTTCTCATCACAAGTAGGAGAGAATCAGACATCGACCATACCTTCTCTTCTGCGGACAACGTCTGTGCTGTCGGACTAGATCATACTTCAACTACTTGCAGAAGTGACGTTCTTCATTATATTGACTATGAACTGCGAAACGTGTTCTCGGATAAAGCGCTACGGACTCCTGATGATTGGCAATATTGGATGGATCGTCTTATCGAAGCGTCGGAGGGCCTGTTCGTGTGGGCATCAACAGTTGTGAAACTGGTGGATTGCGACAATCCGGCTCGGACACTACGGGACCTTGTGTCACATTCATCAAATCTTTCAGGCCTCGAATATGACTCTGTTCTTAGGGGCTCGGGTATCGTATTCAGTAGCGAGGCTTCTAAGGAGCGTTTTTCCCAAGTCCTTGGCCTCATACTCCTCAGCAGAGTTCCACTTCCTGACGATACAATCGACGGGCTCCTCGGATATTCAGTCGATGAGCCATCGCGGCTTGTTTTATCGCGTTTACAATCAGTGCTCGTGTATACTCCAGCGTCACCGATCCACTTCTTTCATACTTCCTTTCGCGATTACTTATCATCGCCCAAGAGATATAATGATCCTTGGATCATTGACCTCGATGTCCAGAAGAATTTGATCACCACGCGATGCTTTAGTGTCATGGCGGATAGGCTCCGGTTCAACATCTGCGACATCAAATCATCGTATATCCCTAACGATCAGATCCCCGATCTTTCGGATCGCATTAAAGCTAATATTCCTCCACATTTGGAATACGCATGCATGTTCTGGACACAGTACTTACACGAGGCACAGTTTTCGCACCAGCTGTTGAACGAGCTGTCAGAGTTTCTTCACAAACGCTTTCTGTATTGGCTCGAGGTGATAAGCCTCTTGAAAAAGGTCAATACCGCTAGTCCAGCACTCCTTGCCGTGAATTGGGTCTCGGTGAGTTGCAGTTGGGACAATGATTAAGCTGAAACTTACGCGATCCTTCGACTTAGTCGCACAATGCAGATGTACTAGCGTACCTCAGAGAAGCACGCAGAGTGATTACTCTATATTCTCCCTGTATTTCGCAGTCCATACCTCATATCTACATTTCCGCCCTCCTGTTCGCATCGACGGAGTCGAAGTTCATGTCGCACTATTTGAAACCTGACTTACCTTTTGTGCAAATTGAGCAAAGAGGTGTCAAGCGGCAGTCACCACTTTTGAAGGTACTCACAGGACATAGCGCACCCGTCACTTCAGTTGCTTTCTCGCCAGACGGATCACGTGTTGCGTCTGGCTCCTTGGACAAGACAGTCCGAGTTTGGGACGCAGAAATTGGGCGCATCATTTCTGACCCTTTTGAAGGGCATACAGAATGGGTTCGGTCTGTTACTTTCTCACCTAACGGCGTACGCATCACCTCCGGATCCGACGACAAGATGGTTAGAATCTGGGATATTCAAAGCGGGCAAACCATTTCTGGACCTTTTGAAGGGCATGTAGATTCAGTCTTGTCAGTTGCTTTTTCGCCAGATGGGACCCGCGTTGTCTCTGGCTCAGCTGACAAGACCATCATAGTCTGGAATGCTGATACTGAACAGTTTATTTCTGGACACTTCAGAGGGCATACAGACGAAGTCGGATCCGTTACCTTCTCACCAGACGGGAAATACATTGCCTCTGGCTCCGATGACAAAACAATTCGAATCTGGGATGCAATGGCAGGGTCTGTCGTTTCCGAACCCTTACGAGGGCACAAAGGCATTGTCACTTCCGTTGCTTTCTCACCTTGCGGAACACGCGTTGTATCCGGCTCCAATGATGGAACTGTCATAATATGGTATGTTAACAGTGGGCAAGTCATCTTTGGGCCATTCGAAAGACACACTCGGAGTGTGTGGTCTGTTGCTTACTCACCCAGCGGACAGCGTGTCGTCTCTGGCTGCAGTGATCGGACAGTGTGGATCTGGGATGTTGAGAGTGAGCAGGTCGTTTCTAGATGTTTAACTGGACACACCGAGTGCGTACGGTCCGTTGCATTCTCCCCGGACGGAACCCGCGTTATTTCAGGCTCCGAGGACTGCACAGTTCGAATTTGGGTCGCCGAAAGTATGCAAGAGGTTCCTGCGGGTTTTGAAGAGCATGTCGGCAAATTATTCCCAGCTGCTTTCTCTATCGACGGAAGATGCGTTATGACTGACTACGATGCTGGGGACTTCCGAATTTGGGATTCTGAATATAGTTGCTGAAGTCCGGTCCTGGTCCGGTCCGGGCATACTTCACCTGGACTCAGGACCGGACCAAATCTGCGGTCCGGGAGTGTCCCGGACTGGGGACCGGACCTATGTGGACGGGTAGTGGACCGGACCCAAGTTCCAGTCCAGTTCTGGACTGGTCCATAACCGGACCTGAGAGAAAAAAAATTTAAGAGATGAGTTAGAGTATTATTCTTTGTATCTAAGTACAAAAGTAATATATTTTTGTATATACTACATAATCTACAGACTAGACACTGTAGTGGTTTTCCTGACACAATTCTGAGGCTTTGGTGCAAGCCTTGCAACATGAGTCCTGAAGCTGGACTACAACTGCCTCTAAGCTGGTTACTACAATTTACAGACACTTAGTTGTCAGAACATGAATATTTAGGTACTTAGCAGCAGACAGACCTGTCTCTTCAAGGGTGGCAATATAGTTGGCACAGTGTGCACAGAAAGCAGCCTGAGTGTCAGTGTTCTTCTTCTTTCTAAGAGTGATTTCGGACATCTTGTCTAATTTGTCAGGGGCAGGGGCATTGGCTGGCTGCTTGACTGGGGAAGGTGGCTGGGACTGTGGTGTCTTGGCATAGGA